AAGAGTGTTGGTGACAAAGAATGCAATGGTGGAATCCCGGCATTTTCTGACCGCGCGTGTTATAGATAAATCGCAAACAATTCAACCTGCATGACGGCTTTAAAATATCGTGGACACCCGACAGACGCTGTGCTCAAGATGTGTCGATACGCATATTAATTTTACATAAAATTACAATCTATGATACACAGCATATACCAACATTTATATAACTTTCCAGTCAAGCAGTCTTACACGTACGTAAAATATAGTCAAGATAACCTTGTAACTCAATCTTATTTCGACAGGGATAACAATCAGCCATGCGCGTCAGATATTCATTATCGTACTTTCATTATTTTTTAGCGTTTTCCGTAATTCAATCATGATTATCTTCCTTATTATTTTTAAATATCTAACTTATGACCTCAACTGGCAGACAATCGCATTATTTATATTGGGCCTTTTTCCTTACTCATTTCGGTAAAATCGAACCAAAACTTTCCGTCAAAATGGCCACTCCGTGTACGCACATAGTATAAGAGTATGTAATACCAAGGTTGTTGATCCTGTAACAGTATTGGCTCTTGATGACACAATTATTTTAACTTCTTAATATTTTTATTCTGCCAAACATGTATTGTACATGTTCACTCCTTAATTAACGTGTGTTGTTGGCGCCCTGATCCTAACCGCCTACTACAGCTCGGATAGTTTTCAGTCGAGGATTAGGTAGAAAGCGTTAGTCAATCGGGTGTGAACGATGTCAAAACGATTACACAACTGGGCTTTTGCATAATGCCAGATAAACGTTCTGTACAAATGTCAACGGGCATTACATACCTCAGCCCAACCATCTGGTAATTAATGAGTCAACACTTGGCCATTAGTGATATTAAATTAATCCCCCTTTCATGTGCCACAGCTGACAGGCTAAGGATATTTCATGCACCCAAGTCCAATCACTCTCCCCCCCCCCCCCTCTCCCTTTCCCCTCCCTTCGTGTGTCACAGCTGACATGTTAACGCTTCAATAATATCTCCCTATTGTGTAACAACCCTCATGAAGTTACAATTTTTATCCGATTTTGATGAAACTTAAAATATATGTTTATATCCAAAAGTTCTCGAAGTAGTTTTTTTTTCAATTAAAAAGTTTTGAGAGTGATTTGAAGCAAACAAATGATAAATAAGTTTGAATATGTTTTTAGTCCCCAGTGGCTACGTGGGAAGAAAATCGCTAGTTATTTGAGTTACAGTATCCATAAACACGTTCCTGTTTCGAATTTATCGGGGGTTTATTATTGTCTATTTAACCATGCTTAAGTCAGCCTCTTGTGTTCTAATTACGCAAGCATGGTTTAATACGCCCCCCCCCCACCCCAATATGAAGCAGGAAGCATTTATCTCCTAAATAAAGTGTAGTGGGATAACCCCAACAACGGGAACATCCGCCTCTTGTGTTCTAATTACTCATGCGTGGTTTCATTGACAACAACCCCCCCCCCCCCTCCTCCTAAATAAGATACAAGAAGTATTTATCTCCTAAATAAAGTGCAGTGCACAACAAAAACATTCTACAGTACAAAGGGCTGAAACTCTACTCTAATTTTAGACAGTATCCATGTTTTAAACGCACGATATAGATAATTGACTCTATAAAATTAGGGTGTTTAAAGAGCCTAAGTGATGTCAATTGCGGGATATAATTGTTTTGTAAGATAAAAAAAAGTAGTCACTTAATATGTCATACTCTTAAAGATAGCATCCTTCGATCAGGGTTCAAAACAATTATCAAAGATGTTAATTAACATAACAAATCGTTTTTTTGTTTAGTGTATTATGTTTTAAGTATGATTAAAGTACTATACGCCGTTTATTTGAGAACAGAGCCAATGGACTGCAGTGTGCTACGAGGGAAATGTTGCCAGAACTGCGGCGCTACGGTCTACTCTTTTATCGAATTCCAACTGTCAACGGACCTCGGTTGTTTGTCCCATCCGAACGACTGGACAACACTAATGACAAGGAGACACGCCGGAAAACTCCCGGAACACTTTCTCGGCCAATACCTGGATCGAACACGGGAAATACAGAGAAACGAAATGGGGTTTAACGTCCACTCGAAACTAACTATGTCATTTCGGGACTAAAATATGGTTCAATTTTATTTCAATAACTCGCTATAGGAAATCCAGGTTAGCTAGCCAACATCTTACTTTCTGAGCCACCGTGGGCTTTAGAACAGAGTAGGTTACATACTAATTTCAGTACGCAGTTATGTCGACCTCCTTCCAATCATACTGTCGCCTGTCCAACCTCGTGGGTTTCTCCAGTTCCTTCCATTGTTAAAGAACCCTTCCCGCAAGCCAATTATTGAAATAAAATCGAACCATGTTAGCCCGGAAATGACCTAGAATGTGTCGAGTAGACGTTAAACTACACCTCTCGGTCTATCACCGATCATTGATATCAAACGCCTTTCAGTTGCATAAATTTCGTAAGCGTTTATGTTGGTTGCGTGACCCAAATAACTCCCACCGAATAGAACATCCCCTTTAACTTAAGCAGGAAGATATTAACCCTTTTTGAAATATGATGCTGTTACACAGCAATCTTGACTCAGTTTTACTTTAGGAATGTGTGAGAAAGGATTGAAGACTGACTGGTAAGTTATATAACTGTAGCTATTATAATGTTCACCTTAGATTGTAATAATATATAAAATTAATAAGCGAATTGGCACACCCACATAAACACACACATTTAGAACACGGTGTTCTAATGTTGTTTAAAGCCCAAAACCGTTGATGTGCGGTTAGTCAGGCGGAATTCAGAATTCTGTTATTGCACTCATTGTCGCCACACTCGCTGCAATTGAACTTGTTGTTTACAGTTGGCCGCCATGTTTTCTATTGAATCCTCTAACAATGTTACGAAAGAGGCAGAAGAACTTGTTCAAACGGAAGAAGTCCTATAGAAGTGTAAGAGGCCCGGGGGGGGGGGGGTAGATGGCCGAATGGTTTGCACGTGCGCGCTGTATCATACGGTCTGTCATTGAGTCAACTGGCGGGGTTTCGATTCCCCGGTTGTACGTAACAAGGAGTAGGGTCGCCTGTTTAACCGAATCGAACGGGCGTCTGTGCAGTTTAGTCATTCTGATTGGATAAACACTGAAAGTAATCGAACCAGGCGTACACTTAATCAGGGTCAAAAATGGGGTGACAAAGCATATTAAAATCGATTCTTTGTTACAGTAAGCTAAACTTGAAACGAAAATTAGTATACAAATCAAATTCCGCTTCAGTGTAACATGCCTTAGTCTCCCATCCACACACACCTGTTCGAATATCAACGACTGACTATCTTTGAATTCATGGGTTCGGAAACACTTTTAATAATGAAGATATTGGTTAAATTCACGATTTCGGTATTGTTCATGAACGATTGGGTGTTACCCTTAAAATATAGCCATTTAAGAGGTCGGTTTAGGTCATTTCCATCTGGCAAATTCATCTATCGGGAATTCTGATTGTGGCGGTGATTTCCATTAGGAAATTGGGGATAGGGTTAGGATTATTTATCCTACCTTACCAGTGGGAATTGACCAACATGGCTTAAAAAAACGCTCACAAGTCCATTTATTACTTCAAATTTCAGAAATGATTCCCAGTATAATGATTTATATTTTACAGATAAACGACGTAGACATGGCTGTAAATTACTTACGTCTGATTCTACTTTTAATGTTTCTCTCAACGACAGAAGCGAATGATGAGCTTTCCAGGAGCTGTTCTTACACCAATGATGGAAAGAACAAGGGCTTGAAAGTAGATTGTTCTTATGGTGGATTTTCTACTGTACCGGATGGCTTACCTCTAAATACAACATCCCTGTATTTAAACCACAACAAGATAAACACCTGTTAAATAATCAGTTTGTGAATTTAACCAATTTAAAATATTTAAATTTGAATTTTAACCCGATCATGGATATCCACGAAGATGCTTTTAACAATCTGTATCAGCTACAAGAGTTGCAGCTCAATGGACATGATCTCAACTATTCAGTTAAATCTTTACCAGACAAAGTCTTTAAACCCTTGACAACACTAAAACGTTTAAGTATCCGGTCAACCTTCAAATATACCAGAAACATGGACCAATTTATCACATCAGGCAAGACTTTCAGCTATTTAATTAGTTTGCAATCTCTTTGTATCGATTTATGGATTATCGAGAAATTTAATTTAGGATTCTCAGAACTTCATAATCTACAAGAACTGGATGTGTCAGAAAGATCCATAGATGGTATTAAATTTAAATCTCAATTACCAAATATTAATAACAATACTTTCGTGGTCTTTAAATCAATTCCGATTTTAAGTCTGAATTTAGAAAATTGTGTACTATCTTATATCGACAGGGATGTCTTTGCTCCTTTAACGAGTCTTCAAAATATCGTTTTATCCACCGATATATCTTCTAGCCTAGGTTTTTCTGATCTCATACCTGTATTACATGTATTTAAAAACAGAACACTCAAATATGTAAATGTGGCCAGCTATAAACCCCGTCAATCTTTTAAACACGTATCGGGTTATGCGTTAACATTAGACATACTACATGATATTTGCATAGAGTATTTAGATCTATCTAGAAATCGTATAAATATGGTAGATTTCTCCAAATTTCTGACTTTTCCCATTCCGCGTTTAACAAAGTGTTTAAAGCATTTGGACCTATCACAAAATTTTATACGGGGTAAATTAACAGATCTATATGACTTACCTCTGCGTCTCCCTCATTTTGAAAATGTCCAATATTTTGATTTCTCAAGGCAAAGTACATTTGAGATGTATGGCAATATGGACATTCATGATACAAAGTCACAGAATGATACAGGGCTGCCGTTAATTCTAATTTTCTTGCCCAAACAACTAAGATATATGTACGTGGACGGGTTAGTTCATCGTGTTGGACCCTTACCTAAGACTACAATTATCGGAGGAACTAATATGATTTCGCTCAATTTATCCTACACCAAAATGACTTTCTACCCAGAAAGCAAAATCTTTGGTTTAGAAAATTTACAAATTATGGATTTTAGTAACTGTGACTGTCGTTTAATAGGTAAATCTTTTTTTGACACGTTTCCAAATTTAACCACCTTAAGATTAAGTAATGTGCATCTAGATAATGATTTGATTTTAAATATTGGTCAGAGACTTTTCAAACCTTTGACAAAATTACAAAATTTAGATCTGACTACAAACCTACTGAGTATCCTACCTGCTGATATTTTTAACGGTCTGACCGAATTGAAAGAAATTTCACTGTCATTTAATAACTTGGTCTCTATTCCCGATCTGTCTACACTTGTGAATTTGCATAATATATATCTCAGTTACAATGCATTGGCTACAGTTGATGAACAAACCCGAAGAACATTGGATAAACTTACATCAGAGAAGAACCCTATTCACGTATCATTATTTGGGAATACGTTTGGTTGTACCTGTGAATCAACCAATTTATTGGCCTGGTTTTATCACACAAGAGTAGATCTAGATGGTAGAAATTATTCCTGTATAGACAAGATGGGCGAAAAGACGACAACAGGAATTGTCTTCAAACATTACCGAGCTCTGCGACTTCATTGCGTTTCCGGTACTTGGTTAACTGTAGCTGTGACTGGAATAAGTTTTGTACTTGTGGTTTTGTTGACAAGTTTTGTCTTTATTAAAAACAAACTAAAGATTAAACTGATTTTATTAAGAATGATCGGGCGTTATATAAAACCCAGAAGACGAGAAGAATTCCAATATGACGTATGTATTCTGTATGCGGATGACGTGTACCAGTGGGTGTGCCACACAATGCGTGCGGAGCTGGAGGTCAGAGGATTAAAACTTTTTATTCGTCACAGAGATGAGATCCCCGGTAAAGATAAACCCGTTGAACTTTATAAAACCATGGATTTTAGCTGGAAAGTTGTTCTAATTTTAACCCCCGGATTTCTGGCCTCGGATTTTGCTTCAACCACCATGTCTATTGGTTTATCGTTTATAACTTTGACAACACCGAATCGATTAATGTTGATCATGGATAGTAATGTGAATATACCGACTAATATAGCTTTCTTTCTAGAGTCTGTTAATGAAGAAAATATTTACCGTTATGATATAACAAATGTTTTTGAGGATGACCCACGTTTCTGGAATAAAATCTATCATGGAATAATAGCCCCTAATGATAACATGGATGTAATACGATAAATATTAAACAACATTGGTGTAATACGATAAATATTATAAAACATGGATGTAATACGATAGATATTAAAACAAAAATCATGCATAACGATGAATGTTATAAAACATTGATGTAATATGATAGATATTAAACAACATTGATGTAATATGATAGATATTAAACAACATTGATGTAATATTAAACAACATTGATGTAATATTAAACAACATTGATGTAATATGATAGATATTAAAACAACATTGATGTAATATGATAGATATTAACCAACAGTGATGTAGTATGATAGATATTAAACAACATTGATGTAACACGATTTATATTAACCAACATTGATGTAACACGATTGATATTAACCAACAATTATGTAATACGATAACCGTTAACCAACATTTATGTAATACGATAACCGTTAACCAACATTTATGTAATACGATAACTGTTAACCAACAATGTTGTAATGCATGTATTGGTGTAATACGATAAATATTAACCAACACTGATGTAATACGATAAATATTAACCAACAGTGATGTAATACGATAAATATTAAACAACATTGATGTAATACGATAACTATTAAACAAAATTGATATAATACGAAAGATATTAAACAACATTGATATAATACTGTAAATATTAAACAACATTGGTATAGTACCATAGAGATATTTGAACAGCATTGATTAAATACGATAAAGATAAATATAAAATAACATTTGTTGTATACGTGTAGTACGATAGTTAGTAACCAACGATAACCAAATATTAAACATTATTGATTAACCAACACTGATGTAATACGATAAATATTAACAACATTGATGTAATGATAAATAATAAACAATATTAATGTATTACGAAAGTGGTTTTTTCTCTTTGTGTAATATTATATCAAGTTATAGTATATCACTCTTATCAAGGTTAGATATTGTTAATTATTGTATTAATAATACCATTATAATCATCATTGTATTGTATCATACTGACGACATCTGCACCTTCGTAAGAATATATACACATATATGTAAATAAGGGGGGACATTGACGAAAACCTTGGATGTAAGCATTGGGGTAAAATAGGATGAACTCTATCGATTTTCAGCTTTCCACGACACTCCGATCAGGAATTATTCCCGCTTAGCTGAAAACGCAATATAAGCTACTGTGTTTAATGATTGACTTGTGAACGCGATATAAGCTACAGTTTTGATATGCTGCCTCCCCCCCCCCCTTTCTTTCCTTTTACATGGCCATTTTTGTTTAATTTTTTGAAGACACGGGTATGAATTAACATTTTCGGCCAGATACTGGTAAATATTTGTGATTTACAGTTCCCGATAACAAAGTTAAGAGGTTCGTCACGGAGATATGTACGGCAGATAGTTGCATATTTTAGTATGCTACTTCAAGTTTGTGTATCTCAAAATTTCATTGTTCAACCTCATATAAGATCTTGAGCAAAGAAATGACAATGTGTTGTTCTGTCTATAATTAAAAGCATGAGGCAGAATGAAAATTTTGGGGAAAGTTGGAGCCGGGCACAGAGACCAGAATTAATGGTGGTCTGCATCCTAAAGGTAGAACAACTCTGTAGTTATCTCCCTTGTATTCCGAAAGCTTGCATGCGTGACAAGGAAAGGGAGGCGGTCAGGGAGTCCATCGCCAGCTATGTAAACTGACCCCGAGAAACACGTAATATTTAGATCTCTGACTGATAAAATAATATACTCCACTCACTGAATAGTTAGCATTATTATAACACGGTTGAAAGGAAGATAAGGTGGCGTTGTGATACGTTACAAAGACAACATTTAAGTAGAACAGAACAAAAGACCCCCCCCCCCTCTTCAACACATTTATTTAATCAGGCTGTATACAATCGTTAACATGTTTTCGATCCCCGCATTGGCCGATAATGTTCATTTGGATTTTCCGGCGTGATTTCCCCTTGTCAGTGATGCAGGACAGCGGGTGTGGCAAAGGTCAACACATAGTCGTTCGGATGGGACGAAAAACCGAGATCCTGTGTACACATAGGCGTGCGCGTAAAAGACCCCTTGGCAGTTGGAATTCGATACAGGTGTATGGTGTTTTACATTTACTGTGTAGTAAGGGATACGTTTACATGGTATTTGGCTGTCGTCGTATTGGTAATGTTTTTAATAATGTTGTGACAGGCTCACATACTTGGCAGTGTTGTATGGGTTAATAAAAATTGATTTAACTTCCAAGCTACTAACTACAAAAATCTCGATCAGTAAGAACTGGCAGTGCAGCGACGGATCCAGAGAAGGGGTTTGTTTGAGGGGAGGGGGTGATGAGAAAAGTGTCATGGGCGTGTGCTTTATCCTTTATCATCAGATGGATGACGTATGGTCGTCTGACAATCTTAGTCCTAATGAACGTTACTATACTTCCGTGCTAGATATCGCTTATATTATAGAACGGTTCATCAAAATACATCCACGCCAGTTATTCTCCTCATTATATTTGGAGTCAGAATTGTGTAAAACTCTATTTTAGGGTCTTGTCAAGTTATCTGTGCCCCGGCGTATTGGAAAAAAATAAAAGAATAGCTTACGTGATGAGAATTTTCTTGATATTTTGGTGCTTGACAAATTCGAGGTCGGTTTTGGTTTTTCCTTGCTTTCATTGCATAACAGTTAAACTAAAACGTAGCGTATTAGGAACATGTGTGCTTTGTCCAAATGACCCCTGGTTACCCCCGAAGTACGCCAACGGCAAAATGACGACCAAGTATTTCTCAAAAATGTTCATGGGCGAAAGAACCGCCCTTGCACCCCCCCCCCCCAAAAAAAAAAAAATACATTGTCTCAGGAACCTGACAAACCTCCCCCTCCTGCAAACATTCCTGTATCCGCCACTGTAATGACACCATTGTTAATAATCGGTAATTACCGGAGACACCGAGAGAAACCAACTATAAATGCAACAGTTGTCTCAAATACGGATTGGTGCGGAGCAGTAAGATTTTCTCTTCATTACAATTGTCATTCCCATTCCCATTACAGTATGATTTAATTAAATATTCATAGATGCTTTGTTTCAGTTTAAATATTTGTTAGAACTTTAACCTCATATCTTATCCGAAATAAAAGTTTACAGCTATTATAGTAGAAATACTGTTAGATCCGATTAAGTATATTGAATAACATATTGTTTAAACGAAATAAATATATCAATAATTGCTGACATTTGGCATGAAGGGAGAAACTCGTAGTACTGTTAATGGGTTTTCAAAATTCCTTGCCTACCCATGTCCGTTATGTTTTGGGTATTCTTATTTAAATCAAAATTTAACCAATACACTATTCTCGGACAAGGATGAAGGCATTGGGTATTGTCGCCAATATATAATTTTATGTCAACTTAAGAATTGTTAGTATATTTCAATAATTCACTTGCGCGCAGGGGTCTTTAGCAGTGGGAGGAAGCCAGAGGACCCGGAGAAAACCCACGAGGTTGTCACGTACAACCGGGGAATCGAAACCACGCCAGTTGACTCAATGACAGACCTTATGATACAGCGCGCACGTGCTAACCATTCGGCCATCCAACCCCATGTTTGGCGTACCATGTAGCGAAATTTCACGAATGAAATTCTGGCAGCGGGCCTAACATGGTAATTAGAATTGTTAATCAGGATTAACAACTTAATGTAATGGTAGTGGGGGTAACTTTTAAAATTAGCCCACGAATCGCGTGCCAGAATGCTTTCTAGCGACATTTGTAATGAAGCGACTCGATCAACGAGGCTAAAGCTATCCCACGGGAGAATACTACCAGTGTAGATCGGAATAACCAGACGCCATAGACTGCCATTCAATCCGGACTATTCTCGTATTTCGCCGAAAATAACTGATTAGAAATTACAGTAAAAACAGAGACGACTGAATGTAAATAACTGACAGTGAGAGAAGAGACGAGACGAGAGAGGAGGAGAGAGACGCAGAGGCAGAAGGACGTAACGGTTGAAATATAGTCATATACTATTTTAATGTACCGTTTTGATGTTATCGTTTATATTCCTGATGTAGTTGAGTTCCTGTTTGACTTATGTGCCTGTGTATATATGTTCCGGTTCTCGATGTAAATAGATAATACATTTATTAAACTGATGTTTGTTATCACTAAATTAATGTTACACGCCGTCTTATTTACATATTTTACACAGAAAGTCGAATGGTTTCGATTGATTATATCTTTGTTAAGTACTGAACTAAATCGATCCATTTTTAAAGTGACATTTTTTAATAGTAATTTTTCACAATACTGTAGTTGTCAAGTGACGATCAATGCCGAGAGAGGGTAACATATAATTCAATCTTATTTCAATAATTCGCTTGCGCGTAGGGGTCTTTAGCAGTGTGTGTGGGGGGAGGGGGGGGTGACCCAAACAAACCCTACTCCTAATAATGTAATGTACAAGTCTGGACACGAAACGACAAGCTATGTCCTAAATCAACTAATTTGCAAATGACGGAAGTATATACTGCACACTTACTGAATATATCTAAATATATATGTACACTTCTAAACAAACAAGAACAGGGTTGAGGAGTGCAGACACTGCATATCCTGTTTAACAGATTTTAGGAGTGCTATTTAACACACATGGCAGACACTTAGTATTTCTGTTTAATCACGGTGACTCAGCATTCTGTATTCCAGTTTCGTTTTATTGCATCACCTTGGCCATATTGTTTGTTTTCCATTTAGGTTTCCCTTGCGGATGTTTTGGCTAAATAAATATCAGGAAATGAATAAAATGAAATGGGATTTAAAGGGTGTATAGATCTATTCTTTGGAATCTTAAAATAAACGAAAGTGGGTCTAAAAACAAATATTGATGTAATATGAATGTATATAAAGTGATTTATATTAAATTTAAAAAAAAAAAATGATTGTAATTTCTAATCAATTATGTTCCGATAAATACGTGAACTGTCCAATTGAACGACAATCGTTTACGCCTACTTATTCCATTCTACATGTTTTTTTTATCTTCATTAATTTGTCGTTTAATAATTAGCCATTACTAATTAGCCTACCTCTGCATTGTCTTGTAGGATATGTATTTTCTTTGTTTATTACAAATGGCGCCAGAAAAGATAGAGTGAAGGTCCTGCACCACTGACAGGAATGAACCACGCTTGGAAATCCTTGTGAACCGAGTTTAAACGAATGACCTACAGGTTAGCGAGCGAACGTCAAACTAACTAAATGAATACAATGATTGTTTGGTTTGTGGATGTTGTTTTGTAATAGCTTGTTTTGTAGGATTCGGATCTTGGTATAAATTTGATATAAACATACACAATTCTCCTCGGTAATAAGTCGATTGGCCGTTGAATAAATCGTTGTCCCCAATGTGCATTATATCTCTTGAAGAGGGCTCGACTATTGTGACGAAACACAATATAAAACGTCTTTTAATATTTCAGAATGCAGTAAGCCAACAATGCCAAGAGCTATATATAAAGAGGGATTAACATTTCGTCTTGCCGAGGGCTGGTAAAGGTAAATGAAATAAAAAGGGGTTTAAAGTCCTACTTTGCTGCGCTAAACCGGGACAATTAAGAAGGGCGTACGCCATGCGACTGTTTGCTACGAGTGAATTGTTGCCCGGGCAGCGGTCTGCCCTTATTTCTACTTCTAACTATCAAGGGTTCTTTTCCGTGTAGCCCAAGGCATACACGGGACTCTGGTTTTTCGTCCCATGCGAATGACAAGGCACTGCTTCTCTCCAGGGACTCCGACCTACACCACTGCACTGGAAAATCCAGGAGAAGTTTCTCTCCCAACATCGGGTTCGAATCCAACTCACCTACACTTTTTACTCACTAAGCCACTGTGTCTCCGGGTGGAAAAGATCAATAATTGTAATCTATATTTTAGATATATCTGCCTATCCATCGTGGTTTAAACTAGCTAATCTCTCTAACTCAATATTATCCATAATATTAGAAATCAAAAACACGGATCAGATTTCAATATTGATCAATTTCAATCAATATTAATGTCGTTATCTTGTCGTGACACTGTATTATCCTAATATTTAATATTTAAGACACAATTAACATTTTAAAATCCGTACACGAGTCGTGTACATTATGGTTTCGAGTGTCATTTTGTAATGAACAAATAAAAACATATTCTACAAAGTAAAATGGAAATTATTAGTAAAGGCAGATTCACGAACGACAAAATAATAATTTTAAAAACGTGTAGAATGCACCCAGCAGGCGTAAACTGCTGCCTTTCAATTAAACTGTTCACGTATTTCACGGAACATAATTTATTAGAAATTACAATATTCTTTTCGAAAATTGAATATAAATCACTTTACATACATTCATATTACATTAATATGTGGTTTTACAGCCATTTTCGTCTATTACAAGGTTCCAAAAACTAGAGCCATGCGCCTTTTAACTTAGCTTATTTTGAGAGTAACGTTAGACGATTACATACGCCACGCGAGGAGGTAACTTCTGTCTGGGCTGCGACGTCTCTGCCAACCCACCATTCCATTCCAACTGCCACAGGATCTTTAGCGAGTAATACCAAGTTGACAAAGTTCTCCAGTTTCTTCACGGGTCACGTGGTGGAGAAAAGTAGAACATTAAACCCCATTTTAATGGGCGAGGGTAATTCCCCTTTAAACTTAAAAGATAAGCATCCTATGCATATCATATGTCACGATCGGTTTATCTGCTCATTGTTCAAGGGTAATGTCCCTTTAAACATAAAATATATTAGTAAAATATGCAAAAATGAAATTTTACGGACCGGGTAATCTGCTCATGAAAGGCTGCCTTCGTCCGAGCGTAATTAATATTTTTGTTTGTTCCGCTATACTGATCCGGTACGTATTAAAAACAGCGTAATAACAACAAGCAAACAGAAACGCAATTGATAAAAGAGGGAGTATTGCACATATATTATCGTCCACTTTCCATTCATTCATTCGTTGGTTGAATAAACCATTCAATTTGTTGACATTTTGTATTAAAAGTAGGTTGACTATAAGGATATACACGGAGTGTGCGATACAGACTAAACACCCTACTTGTTGCATCATTCTTGTTTATAACATGACGTTAAAATAGGAAGAGTTCGACCGTATTTTTATATAATTAAACTATCAACGTAGTTCAGGAGAATTGTTTTATAGTTGTCGATAGTGGTTATATAGAAAAAGGAGATTCAGACGGTATTGTGGACAATAGCTGACATAATTATAATTAATAATCAACGTAATTCAGGAGAATTGTTATATAGTTGTCAGTAGTGATTAAAGAAAAGGGAGATTCAGAAATTTTAACGTCGGTATTGTGGACAAAAGCTAATATTATATAAAGGGAAATTTAGAATTTGAACGTTGGTACTGTTAACAAAAACTAATAGAAGGATATTCGTATTACAGTAGACCTACAGATTGTATCAATAACCCTTTTGAAAGTTATTAGAGCAAACAGTTACTAGCACAGTACTACTGAACGCCCCTCTTTAAATACTAGTTGTAAATATCAAAAGGAAACTTAAGAGGTAGGTACAGATTTTTATTTCAAGTTGCAAATCAAATAGGGTTTAACGTCCTATATTGCTGCACCAACCGGGATAATGAAGAATGGCATACCTCATGTAGTGATTACTAGGACATTCCATGATATGGATCGTCACCTACAGATTGACTGTACGTGTACACCCATCGTCGTTATTTCGATATCAAATTTGTTTGCGTAACAAGCAACGACATCGCTTTGGTTTAAGTTCTTAAAAAAATTACCCCTTTCAACAAGCTAATAAATGTAACACATTGTGAAAAACTGCCATGTTTATTGCAAAAGCCCCTTGTTGATTTGTTGCATGGTGTTACGGAGACTCAGTGTGTAAGCCACTTTTTTTTTTTTGGGGGGGGGGGCGAGTAGTTAACGCGTGCGCGTTTGATTATATGGTCTGTCATTGAGTCAAGTAGCTTGGTTTTGACTCCCCGTTTGTATGTAACAATGCGTAGGGTCACTTGTCCTACCCCTACGCGTTAGCAAATTATTGAAATAAAATTGAACCATGTTAGTCCCGAAATGACCTAGTTTGAGTCGAGGTGGGGAATTATGATTACGTCCTGAAGGTCTTAACATAAATATAGTTAGCAACGACCAAACAATCAAGAACTAAACGACCTTCGAGTACCTGCCATATGTCATATTGATTCTGTTAGCTATTGAACGAGACGACGCTCTAGATTTAGACACCGACCATGGCACTGGTAAAAAACGTTTACTTTAAACCTGGCCAAGAACGTTACTGGTGATATAATAATTTTCAATAGAGTTGACAACGCTCGAATTCGATGAATTTTCCTTCCAAGGTGTAGAGGTGTGTCTAGCTATGTGCTCTCCCTTCCGAACATGTGCCGTATATTCTGAAAAAAATGACCTCGAATTTAGAAAAGAGTTACCTCAAAAACTTAAGGAAATGTCCGCGTCAAGGGTATCATATTCCCATTGCCCTATGGTAACGTTCTGTCCTCTTTCCCCCGCTGTCCGTTCCTTGTTCCAATCAAATCCAGAGATACGAAAAACCAATCTGCCTTGCTTACTGGCTCTCAGCCTCAGTGTGACAGGAATCTAGTTAACGCTGATGGTGATCGACTGATTGTGGCTGGTTTGCAACCATTTCTAATCATAATTTCGCATTTAGCCCCGTATTAAAATTGCTAGGGACGGACCGGGTAACTCTGGATCCTTGGACCAATTGGTTTTGTTGGGCCCACATCGCGGTCAAGAAATCGTTAAATGATGAGAAAAGGAAACTAGTTTGATTCCCTATTCATACACCTCACTCATAGATCATTGTTCTCCTCGAATTGAGGCCATTGAGGTCCCCGTACCAACTACTGTCGTTAGGCCCCCATCACCGCGAAAAGTACGTGACATGATGAGAAAACGAAACTAGTTTGATTTACTGTTCATGCACCTCACTCATAGATCATTTTTCTCTTCGGATTGAGGCCATTCCAAATTTCAGTGGAAACGAAGACGAATTTTAATTATTTTGAAAAAGAAAAACCCCAACTATATGTCAAGTCTGGCGAGGCGAGTTTGGTACATAATTCTGGAAAAAAAACCAACGTGGGCTAATACTTTGAGAGATTAATTATTCTATTTCGAGATCCAACATCCAATTCATTTCCACCAGGACCTGGGTACTACCCACAGAGTCACATTAAGGAAAGTAAAGAAGCTGAACACACATCAACACCCAAACGCGAGTGCTTTAAATCATCAAAGTACGGGGGAGGGGGAGGGGTCGAGTGACATGATTTAAAAATAAAATGAAATAATAACTGAAATTGTGCTTGGAAAATTCCACCAGTATGATTAAGCATGGGCGTAAACAGAATCAAACTACATGGGTTGGTTGGTAACATATTGTGTTAATTTAACAAAGGCCGTGTAAAATACATGTAAAACTTTATGTTATGTTCAATTTAATACTTTCAAATAATCAATAAGTTTATATGTTTGACATTTAAAATATCTTCCTTCTCACATTTCTGAGTTGAGTACTATATCCTATACTTGAGTCTGGATGGCGTAATATACATCCGAGGAATTTGGCCCAGGCATCACCAAATCTCTGCATGCTACTAACCCAATCCACCACTCTGGTAACTTTAGTTAGAAAGTATCACCCCTTAAAGCAACAGTCAAACAACCAAGAACTAAACGACCTACGACCTAAGTGAGGTATATGAATATAGCCCGGCTGGAGCTGACGTGACATAATACCACATTTCATTTCATTCTCTGATCTAAACTAAAGTGAGAAGTTGCGGTTGTAAATATAACAAAATAGTCTACAACATCAGTGATCATAAATTAAAGATGCATTATGTAAGAGTCAAATCTGTCAATTATAGGATATAAATTATTATTTAGACATTTATTGACATGGCAAACCTAAAATCATATCTCTAAGTCATCGGATGGCCGCGAGATTTCAAAATTTAACGATAAAATGGATAATCGAGACTTAGTCTCGGTTATCAAGTACCGTCATAACTTCACCCAGAATGAAGTATTTTGAATGAAATTTTCAATATATTAATTTTGCGATATCTTTTTAAAAACTATTATAGCAAGAACGACCGGCTCTTTATCTAACTGTAACATAATGCATCTTTAAAGCAGTTTTATTTGTCTGTACTACACTAGGATGTGTGATAATCAATTGATTCGTCGACCAAGACGAAGGGGTTGGGAGGGGCTAATTAGGAAATGAATCATCGTCAGTTTTGTAACAATGCGACTACCCATATATTTTGATAAGCAACTATATTAGCTCTCCTTTCGTCTATTAATATTTTTCCAATCTGATTAAAATACAAATCTATATTCCGTTTCGTTTTTTTTATACTTCCGATGGCCTACACTATATGAAGATCTGATCAGTTGTATTGGGAGGTCGTGTCAGGGGTCGTACAAGTGACTTTTCACCCTGTGACATCAGACATTAATAAATCAATCAGCGTTGACGTTTCTAGTGGTTTACCCATTGTTCCGTGCATCGCACGCCAAGAAGTCGTCGTAACAGATGGTTTCATTGGCTAATCCCTCACGCTATCCAGAACGCAGGCCCCAGTGTAGTACAGACAAATAAAACGAAATTTTGAACTATAAAACACGAAATAGGATCTGAGTTTTAATCAGATTGTATTTTTTCTGGTTTCATTGTCCAGGGGTGACAATGGAATACAGGTCAGTATATAGTACTATAAATATTAATAGGGAAATTTTTAAAGAAATTGATACGTGGTTATAAGTCGCTTATCTGTAGTAACATAAAACCGTCCTTGAACTCACCGAGGTCGCCCCTGTGTTAACTCCTATATTGTCTGTGTAAAATAGACCTAAAGACTAGCGCACACAGGCAATTCTCCCATGCTTTAATGAAATGAAATGGAGTTTTACGGCATGAAAGAAATCGTTCGGATTTCACAGAGGATTTCAATTTGCTTGTCGCTCTGCAAACGTACACTTATCCCAGATTGATCAATCGCCATCACCATAACTAGTTGGGGTTTTTTTTCGACAGCCACCCGCAGAATGCTGGTACGTGCACACACATCGTCGTAATTTCGTCATCATCACTGGTTGCCTAACTATAGCGAACAAAATCGTCTATGGCTTAAGTTGTCCTTAAATAAATATTAACACAATCAGCAATAAAAAAAAATGTAAGTTATTTGAACAATGCCATGTTTAAATTAGCATTGGACATGTTATCGAAAATCCATTTGTTCATTTGTTAAAGGGAGTTACTAAGAGTTCCCGGACTCGACCCCGTCCTTGGCAGAGAGAGTACCCAGGGATTAGGCGTACACGTAATTCAACCCTTGTCATTTGAGATCATACTAAACTTAGGCTGTGCGTCTACAATATATAGTCCATACTAAACTTAGGCTGTGCGTCTACAATTAGCTCTCCTTGAGAACAGACCCTAAGCTAGTCAACCGACAATTTTTGTAAGTCCTAAATCGACGATTTTAGTCGCAAACACTAAGTCCTACTTCGAGAAATTTGTTAAGTATTTATTCTGCTTCCATTTAATAAAATTGAAAAAGGTTTATTTAGTCTTTGTGTGAAACGGAGTAGAACCGCATTACTAAACAATATACTAATGTTTGCATATGGCGGCCATATGGAGCTCTGTGTGCAAAATAATTTGTGATTTGATGAAGCGTGGGCGAAAACTCCGCTGTTCGGACTACATTTTCATCAATGGGAGGCGATGCCGTTGCTAGTTAGACAAACAAAGATGTTCCAGTGATCACTATATGGCGTATACTCGGTTTTCATTAGCTCTTTTTTTTTGCAGAACGATAGAACGTGTTTGTGACCAACACTAGTTATTTAACAAAATGTCCAGTATGATTTAATAAACAAGTTATATTAGTTGCTTTATTTTGGTTGGTGTTTTGTAGATATTTATCACCGGAATTCAACCGAAATGGACATGGAAGAGAATCGGTCTTTAAGTAACCCTACATCAACTAAACCAGGAAAATGTATCAGTTATTTTAAGAATAATATGTTGATGTGGTTGAATATAGTTGGGATTATTTTAGGTCTAGTTATAGGATTTAGTATACGTCCATTTCATCCATCTAAAGACGCTCTCTTATGGATAGGTATGTATGTATTATATAAACATAATCTGATGCGGGTAGGTATCTATTTACCAATATGTGTATAGTTTACCCATCTAAATATAACACCTTGTGTATAGGTGTGTAGTTTACCCATCCAAATACAACCCCTTGTGTATAGTTGTATCGGTTAATTATCCATCTAAACCTCACGTATAACGGTGTGCAGTTTACCCATCTAAATATAACCTCGTGTACATAAGCGTATAGTTTACTCATCCAAATATAACACCTTGTGTATAGTTGTATCAGTTAATTACCCATCTAAACATAACCTCTTGTATAAAGATGTGTATTATATCCATTTCAACATAACCTCTTGTATAAAGATGTGTAGTAGTTCCATTTAAACATAACCTCTTGTAAATATGTGTGTAGTACATCCATCCAAACATAACCTCTTGTACATAAGCGTATAATGCATTCATCCAAATATAACCCCTTGTGTATAGGTGTATTGTTTACTCATCCAAATGTAACCTCGTGTAGATAGGTGTGTAGTTTATCCATCTTAACATAACCTCTTGTAGATATGTTACCTATCTAATAATAAGTACCCACAGATAGGTGTCTTATATACATAAACATAATAACCCCTTGTGTATTTACCAGCTATTTCCATTATATACCACACCATTGCGGGATAATGTTAGAACGGATGGTCATTCTGATCAAAAATACAAACCCTATTCATAGTTCAAAATGACGTTTTACTTATATTCGCTACACTGGGTTACTGTGGACCTTCGCAAATACATAAAGAAAACGAAACGAAATATAGATCTGTATCTGACAGATATACTGTTGGCGTGCATAATTAAATTATAACAAAAGAGGAATGGTGTGTATTTTTACTATGTTTGACATGTTATGTTTAAAATGGGTTGTATTTATTTAAAGATACGTTCTTGTGGCTTCAAATGTTATATAAACTATTATTTAGGCATTTACTAACATGGTAAACCTATAATTAATCATTGGATGGCAGAGATGAAATGGATTTAAACAGTCGCGAGATTTAAAAACAATTATAGTGAACATGGATAATCGAGACTTAGTCTCGGTTGACAAGTACTATTGCTACGATAATAAACAATCTACACTACATCTTCAAACAGTTATAACTACGCCCAGAATAAAGTAATTTGCATGAAACTTTTAATATATTATTCAGTTTTCATTATTTACGGGTACTTTTGAACAATTATAGCAAGAACGGCCAACTCTTTATCTAAATCTTACATAATGCATCTTTAATACTAGTTATTTCTATTTAACAGGGTTACCTGGACAATTATTTTTAAGGATGTTGAAAATGTTGATATTACCTTTAATAGTGTGTAGTGTCATCTCAGGTAACGTATATATATTATTTATCGATATTTATCTTAATAGCTGTCTAAATTCGCCGCACAACAGCGGACTTAGGTTGAAATAAGAGGTGATTTATTCATCTTTATAACGTTTCGGTTTAAAAGACCCTTATATCTCTTAATGTCTGTCTAGTCTCTGCTACTCTTTAAAGGGGGTGTTGCCCCCCACCCCTCGCTTCCTATATATCTTAATATTTACATATACATACCTATCATCTTCAACGTAGATTCCTCGTAGTAATTCCTTTGATAATATTTCGAGAAGCGATGGCTCAGTGAGTAAGATGCTGGATCGCCCGAGTGTCTCGTGTTCGCTCTCGGTGTTGGCCGAGAAAATTCCTCGGGATAACCCGTCGTGGTTTTTCCTTGTCAGTGCTGAAGGACGGAGGGTCTGGCAAGGACAGCTGTTTAGTCGTTCGGATGAGACGAAAAACGTACACATGCACGAAAAAGAACCCTTGACAGTTGGATTTACATATAAGAGAAGGCCATAGCACACTGCTTGGCGTATGCCCGTCTTCATTATACCAGTCGGTACAGAAAAGTAGGACGTTAAACCCCATTCATTTTATTTCATTTGATAAAATTACACTCACTATGCATTTCTGTACTATAAGCTATCGTTTCATCATAACTTGATTAAGCGGCATTTAGTACTGACTCAAAACAAAACGTGAACAAACAAAATAAAAAAATTATCTGGAATACTAGAAACGTTTTTACTTTCCCCGGAAATTACCCACGACATAATATTTGCAAATTTCTTCTACGCATACACGCATTTGCTACTAAACGGATCGACATTGAATTACAAATATTAAATCTGTACTGGACTATTGGTAGATCGGATAGAGAAATTTGAAAATCCATTCAAAAAATTTATTCACCTTGGACAACTAGCGTTTTAAAAATGTCTTTATTGAAGGTGGGGACTTGTATATTGTTTTACCCGTACAAGATATTAACTAATTTCAACTTTTATTTTGTATTGTTTTAGGATCGGCGACCTTGGATCCCAAGGTGAATGGTAAAATAAGTCTAGTAGCTATAGTTTATATTTTAGCTACCCATGTTATAGCTTGTAGTATTGGTGTAGTTCTGTCTATAATAATCAAACCTGGTAAGTCTACCTCCCACACTACATCTCCACCCCACCCTCCCATCCACTGCCGATTCTCATCCCGATCAACTATATTTATAAGTATACCTATAAGTATTCTGAGTGAGTATAAAGTCTATCCCCACCCCCACCCCCTTCCTATTCTCTTGACTATCGACCCCACCACGCCCAACCCTCCGCTTCTTATTCTCTTCACTATCCACTATCCACACCTCATCCTCACTCCCTGGTTGGCTGTGTGAATATCGTGCTAGGCTTGGTGTAGTTATGTCTCTTATGGTCTTATGTTAATAAATTAATGTCTAATTAAGAGTTTATATAACATTTAAGGCCTAAAGAAAGACCTGCAATATGCAAATTTAGCTCTTGTCTACTGTATCTTTAAACCACATTTAATTTCTCTACACCTAATAACTCCATAGTCGTTGGCCCACTGTTAAATGTCTGTAAGCGTAAACGTGTCATATTTTAGTATACCGAAATGATCTAGTTTAACATTTTATAGAAGATTTGAATCTTATGTAAAGCATTAAACACAACAGGACGTCTCATCTATTAAAGCGTACATTCTCACCCAAAATTATTTCTTTTAAACCTTTAATTTATTTTAGTAGAATTTAACCCTTATAAATACCGATCGAGTGACAGGCCTACATATATTGGAGACATTCTAATAAAATATGGAAATTTAAATAAAACAATTTCTGGTGAGAAGGTACAATAAATGATAAATCTTCTAGGTTATAAACTCTTTATGATTAATGTTCGGCCATGCGTGATGTATTTATAAACATAATATCTTACCGGCGGGATGATTTACCCAATACTACCAATTTCTGGTGAGAAGGTACAATAAATGATACATCTTCTAGGTTATAAACTCTTTATGATTAATGTTCGGCCATGCGTGATGTATTTATAAACATAATATCTTACCGGCGGGAGGATTTACCCAATACTACCAAATACCACCCAATACCACCCGAATACCACTCTAAATGGAACAGCCAGACATCGGTATCTCATTTGAAGCACATTTCCCGCGATATAACCCTCTATTTTTGAAAAGAAAAATCAAATGATATGTCTATTTTGCATCATTATCTGATTGAATTCAAGTCGTAAGGTTATCTAGTGTTGGCGTTGATGTTGGTGTTTTGATTATGTGTTCTTCATTAAATATTAGATAATCAATCAGAGTACATATTTATTGTGTATTAAACATACATTATGCAACAGCTAAATCTGCCTATTGAAGATTTTTTTCTTTAGGCCTTAAATGTTATCAAAATTATTAATTAGACAATAATTAACTTATCCGGACCATAATCAACTCTCGATGTCATCGCTAGTCTGCGATGTTTACTGGATTTGAATCAAATCTTCTGCCCAACGCTCATTGATGATTAAATCAGAAAAGGGATAATCGAGACTATGTTTTTTTTATCGTGCCGTTTTGAGTAATGATGATCGAGGTTAGGCCTAAAATTCAATCGCTAAATTCTCGGTTCACAGTGGCTCAATTTGACTTAAATTTTCAGCAGATTCTCTTTACATTATCTAGTGTTTAACTATCATAGAGAGAACTGCCAGCTGTTCATCAAATCTTTCATAATATATCTTTAAGTCGTGAGAAATTTCATATTCTACTGAACAAATGAGGAATCATACTGAAATGTGGACTCGAAAATTGATTTACGCTGGGGCTAGTAATACTGTAGATGGGCTAAAGATCCCAGAGCAGAGGTTTAAGGTGATATGGTTGGTCTTCAAAGTTTTACAAGGCTACTGACGGTCTGATTGAATTCATCCATACTAGAACATCAACGCCATCAACAAACTGTAAAAACGCCGTTATGTTACTTGCAGTCAATGCATTTTGATAAAACATGAACTGTACCTTCACTATCAGACTCAATAGGCTAAATCACTATCTTTGACTCTTTCAAGTTTGAGTCCCGATGTTATATACATGTAATATTTTCTTGCTGTCTAAAATGGTAGGTGGAGGACAACAGCTAACTCATCTTAAGGTCTATCAATAATTCCAGGTGTTGGAGATACAATCAACGATGGTTTCTATAAAAATGAAAATATGTTGCAAACCCAAGATATTTTTGTTGATCTTCTCAGGTTTGTTTATTTTTGTTGTTTTGATAATCTATATAAAGTATGGAAGGTGTGAACGTTGTTCTTCTTTAAATCAAAACTCTGTGGCATTGTGTGTGTGTGTGTGTGTGTGTGTGAGAGAGAGAGAGAGAGAGAGAGAGAAAGAGAGGACTACCACATGGTTCAATTTTATTTCAATAATTCGCTTGCGCGTAGGGGTCTTTAGCAGTAGGTGTAAACCGAAGGGCCCAAAGAAAACCCACGAGGTTGGACAGGCGGCCCTACTCCTTGTCACGTACAAACGGGGAATCGAAACGGGCATATGGTTCAATTATATTTCAGTTACTCGAATGCTCGTAGGGGTCTTAAGCAGTGGGAGGAATCCTGAGGACCCAACCAACGAGGATGGGCATGCGACCCATCCTCCTTGTCATGTACAAGTGGAGAATCGAGGCAGAGGGCAAGAAAGGGACTAACATATGGTTCAAGGTTATTTCAATAATTCGCTTGCGCATAGGGGTATTTAGCAGTGCGAGGAAACCTGAGGACCCTGAGAAAACCCCCTAGACTGGACATACGACCCTACTCCTTGTCAAATACACGCGGGTAATCGAAACCAAACGTCTTAATGACAGACCTTGTGATCTAACGCGGGCGGGTTAACCATTCGGCCATCCAACCCAACTGTATGTAAAAGAACCGCTGAATGCTGGAATCCAACGAAGTGTAGGTAGAAACGAAGCTGCCTGGCCAAAATTCACATCCTGGCCGATATAAATAAATAACCATATATAAGTCTAAAAATGAGCACATTATGGTTTTAAACTTAATTCCTAACCTGTCCTTGTGTTGACGAGACAGTAAAACCTGTTTTATTCTATTCTAAAAGGGAGTCACTATGTCCCGGGTTCGGTTCCTCTGGATTTTCTTTTTAAAGTTGTTTCCCTTTGTCTATGGAAAGGGAAACTTTCCCTTTTCCTTTGTCTAGAACTGTCTAGTTCCCTAGCACACGTTGGCGTCCACGTAAAAGAACTCTTGACATTGGAAACTGAAGAAACGGCAGAAACGGCGTTGTCCGGATAACAATACCATTCGGCGTATGTCAATTTTCTTTAGTAAGCCTCAAATCATTTCCATCCTAAAAGCATATTGTATATCTTTAGTATCACCACATCTACCTATCTAAATTTGCAGAAATCTGTTTCCTAACAATATGGTGGAGGCTACATTTCAACAAGTAAGTAAATGATCCAGAAACACAAAACTTTGCAAATAGTTTCTTATTGATGTATACATTGAAACAACAAAGGTTTTATAAAGGGCTATAATTTAGTTAAAAATAGGGGACAAATTGTGGGTAAATTTTTAACTTAAGGCTGAGAATGCTTTCTGAACTCGGGGTCTGCTTTCACGAGGATCATTTCCTGCGTAGTGTTTAAGCACCCATCCTCCAGTCTTTGTTTCAAATTGAGACAGAATGCTCATACTTGGTAGCTTTAATATGCGGTTTGCTATATATGCACACGGGTTGTTATTCTCCAAAGATTACAGAAGATGTATGTGATATTACAATACGACCAGCTGTCTAGTCGTTCGGATGGGACAAAAAACCGAGGTCCAGTGTATACATTTGCATGCATGTAACAGATCCTTTGGCAGTTGGAATTCGATATAAGAGTAGGCTAAAGTGCCGCTGCCCAGGCAAAATTTCCTCATTGTACACTGTATGGCGTATACCCGTCTTCATTAGCTCAGTCGTACCAGAACACTAGGACATTAAACCCTATTTCATTTCATTTCCATTTTTGATATTACAATACAGTTTTAATATCAGGAGTATATTTGTTATAAACTTTATATTGCTGGAGTGGAAGGTCGGTTTTAAAAATCGGTTAAATATTTTGTTTTCCAGGCCCAAACTAAATACAGTAAAATGAGTGAAACAGTTATTAAAAATACTAGTGACGGTTTGGTTACAGAAAGTATGGTAACTATAACCAAATCTAATGGTCATACGGGTGGTATCAATGTTTTAGGTATGTACGAATTATCCCAAGACACTTCGTACTCCTGATAATTACCATCATATATTTCAATTAGTCTCGGTCACCCAGAACCTCCTAGTCTTTAACATAAAATATTTTTCTGTGTGATAGACTTGTATTTCAGTATGCTAATGATTTAATAATGGGTAGCTACGTTAGCATTGTGCCTGCTCAACATAACTTTAGTTCATCCTTGTAGATTGAGGGGGGGCGGTCTTCTAAGGATATATATAGGTCTAGTCGTTCGGATGGGACGATAGTTTGAGGTCCACCTACCTCGGTAACCTAACCGTTGAGTAAGTGGAATGTTAGCTGCTCTGGAAAAATTTCCCAAAAACACATTGTATGACGTAGTGAAACGTTAAACCCTATTTCATTTCTTTTTTTCCAGGGTTGATCACCATCAGTGCTATATTTGGTATAGCTGTTAGCCGAGTAAAAGAGAAGGCGACCATATTTTTACAGTTTTTCACTGGAGCAACTGAAGTTATTCTTCTTATTTTACGGTGTTTCTTCTGGTGAGTATTATATGAAATAGGGCCATGGTGGCTCAGTGTGTAGGGTACTGAATCACTAACAAGAAGGTTCCGGGTTCGATCCAGGTGGTCGCTGATAAAGTTCCTCGGGGGTTTTCCACATTTGTTTAGCGCGGAATGCTTGACAAGGAAAAGTGCTGAGTTGTTCTGATGGGACAAAAGCAGAGGCGCCATGAGTTGGCGTTCCATTCAAGAGTGTCCGTGTAAAAATCCTCTCATATGCTTGTTGTCACAAAAAAATTAGGACATGAAACCCAATTTCGTGTTCCTTTTTTCTAGATGTGGTATTATAAAGAAAATCAATGTATTCGAATCGGCAAAAACAACGGTCTAATTAAAAATAGAATTTTATGTAAATGCGACATGACTCCGGCATGTTTAGTTATTGGTTGCCGATTTATGAATATAAGTATTGGTAAATTCATAAAATCATTCATTTTAATCCTCATCTTATCACTTTTGTTACAGGGCTGGACCTATAGGGATAGCGAGTTTAATAGCCGCTTCTATCGCCCCGGTTGAAAACATGGCTGAAGTATTTTCCCAATTAGGATGGTTTGTTCTATGTTGTGTTGTTGGTATTATTCTACACCAGTTTTTAGTTATTCCTGTTTTATATGTTGTGATTGTTCGTCGTAATCCTTATAAATATATGTTTTCACATATCAAAGCCATTTTACTTGGCTTCGCTTCAACTAGCACGTGAGTTATTTTTAATAAGCTGGGCCTTATTCACAAAATCTTAAATTAAAATGTTTTAAAATCGCTACATTTTCCTTGTTTAAAGGCTGACATTTGAATTAGAATTTTAAACCAACCTCGTGGGTTTTCTCCGTGTCCTTAGGTTTCCTCCCACTACTAAAGACCCCTACGCGCAAGCGAATTATTGAAATAAAATGAACCCATATGTTATTCCCGAAATGACCTAGTTTGTGTTGAGTGGACATTAAACCCCACCTCTCTCTCTCTCTCTCGAATTTTAAATCCGAGTCAATGAACATGCGGAATTCACTAATTCAAAATGGTGGTTGTCCCAATTTGCAGACGAAACAGTTCCTATTGGCTTGCTCGGCCTGTGCTGAAACCTGACAGCCATAGATGAATCGTGTCACCCGGCACTGGGTAAAATGTTTCTGCAACCAATCGCAGAGGTAGCGCATGTGTAACTCACTGTCTTGGGCCAATAATTCGTCTCAGATATATTCACATCGTCCAGTTTGTTCGAACTAATCAGATTTCCGTTTTTCTCCAGTCCAGGTGAAACTCGTCTTAAGCCCAGCTTTAAATCAAACCCGATGTCCGAAGTTGTGGGTTTCGAAAATCAGTAGATATAAACACACTGCGTTTTATATATTTCAGAGCCGTGGCAATACCAGATATGTTTGTATCATGTGATAATAATAAAATAGATAAACGGGTATCCAGATTTGTTATACCATTTTGTGTGACATTGAATGCTGATGGCAGCGTCATCTATATCACGTGTGCCGCAGTGTTCATTATACAGCTGACATTAGGAACGGTAACTCCAGCACAAGCAGGTATCATTATGTAAGTTCCATAAAATCTATATATTTAATGCCCGACTTTTCTGCACTAATAAAGACGGGCATACACTACGCTGTGTGCTATGATTTCCAACCTTGTACGCACACGTCAAGGTGTGCACGATGCTTCTGGTTTCGTCACACCGTGCGACTAGTGACTGCTCCTTGTCCCCCCCCCCCCCTCCGTCCCAGTTAATTGAAAATTTCGAGTTCCCGGCCTGAATCATAAGGTTACCTTTTAGTCCCAACACCCTAAATAGAGAGCATGGCGCAAGGCATTTTAATGAACCGTCCAATCTTTCAACATCTGTACTGTACTCTTCCTGGTTAGGAACATCATTGTGCACCACTGACGCGTTGAAGCCAAGCTCGAAAATTCCCGTGGATCTGTCTTGGGAGTTCATGGTTTGTGAACCAATATTTCAGGACCCTGGTCCTGATATCAGGTACGCCGGGGAGATCCGGCTAGTTGGAGATTAGATGAGAACCCTTAGCCCTCGATCCAGCGTGTCCCAAGATAGTACTATATAGTTCTTTCTGGAGGACGCCGATGTGAACCACGTCGGAATTCGATAGGCAAAAATTGTCATTTTTTTCGTCACAACAATGATCAAATCGCAAGTATAGAGAATCTGTATGGTTCGCGCATGAGTAAATGCACCGTTCCAATTCGGTTACAAACACCACTTTTATAACTTAATGGACAATATTTGAAGATAAACGAAAGTTGTGTCATCCCACTGGGCTGGGTATGTTTAACTAGTCCTAATAGTATAACATTAGCTCTTTTTAAAGATGTTATATGCATTAATAAACAAATGAAGTTTGCTAGGTGGAATTAAGTCGAATGTAATCGTAGCTAATAACAAGCACATCACATCCATCACCGTTGGAGAAGAGCAGGGTGGTTTGGCTGGTTAATTCCATTCGGGAAAATAATCTTCTGTCAGGAATTCTGATTGAGGGTAAGGGATAGTATAGGGGTTACCTACCTATGCCCATTCTGGTGCCTCTGTGTATTACAACTTCTAGGACCTCCCCAACCAACCTAAAAATGGACCCTCATCCCCTTTGTGAAATAAACGTGCGTAATATTTCTTTCGAAAGGGGGATAACTCCGTTTTTGTGTATGTTGCAGATTTTTAACGTCAATTATTGGAACAGCCATACCATCAGTGCCAAGTGCTAGTATTGTATCTCTCATTATTATACTGACGTCATTAAATATACCTATTCATCAGGTGGCGTTGATGTTTGCCGTAGAGTGGTTTCTGTAAGTATAATCTTGTTTACGTCATAATTTAGGTCACTCTATCACCTAATCAATATCATAAAGTTGACCACCGTCAAACCTGCTTCCATTTGCCATTTTAATTACACTCAAGCCTGTTAAATGAGACAAGTGACAACGCATAATCCCCGTGTACACATTTGCGTGCACTTAAAAGACCCCTTGACAGGTGGAACTCGATCCGGTATCCCTGCATTGGCCGAGAGAGTTCATCCAGATTTCCCCATTGTCAGTGATGCACGTAAAAGATCCCTTGACAGTTGGAATTCGATAAGAGCAGGCCGTAGTGCCGCTGTCCGGGCAAACTTTCCCCTCATAGTGTACTGTGTGGTTTATGCTCGTCCTTATTTTCCCAGTAGGTGCAGAAAAGTAGGACGTTAAACCCGATTTCATTTTATTTTATTTCCTCGCTTTATCTTGAATTCACATACACAGGCTACATTTGTCACGAAAAGTAGATTGTCCGATGTGTGTAGGCTAAAACCTAACTCAACGTAATATATGTTTATAGATTTATATTTTATGTGAATGGGGGGTCACGCTGGCTAAGTGGGTAAGACGCTGGTCCGCTAGCCTGGAGGTCGGGTGTTCAATCCCTGCATTGGCTGAGAAAGTTCATCCAGTTTTTCTGGCGTGGTTCCCCACTCGTCAGTGTCCAGGACAGCTGTCTAGTCGTTCGGATGGCGTGCACGTAAAAGATCCCTTGACAGTTGGAATTCGATATGAGAGTAGGCTATTATAGTGCCCATGTCCGTGCAAAATTCCCCTCAAAGCACATTGTATGGCGTATGCCCGTCTTCATTAGCCCAGTTCGGAACAGAACAGTAGGACGTTAAACCCCATTTCATTTCACTTCATTTTATGTGAATGTTTATTATTTTCAGGGATAGAATTCGAACTCAGTGTAATGTAGTCAGTCATACTACATGTGCCGCTATTACATACAGAATATGTCGTCATAATCTTAAAACTGCAGACACCAATATGGACATTATAATATAACAAAATATCATTTCATCAGTCCAATGTTGTAGGTTCTTATTCGATTATATATATTCAAAGCCGGGTCAACTATACCCTGCCTGAGTGCACACAGTCCCTCCTAGAACTGACGAAGGTTCGCGCCTTCCTGGCTCTATCGCCTCTGTATATTATAGTATTTCTATTGGTACGACTAGGCTTCTATTTTTATTATGATCTAGGCTTCAACTACCGTGAAAAAAGTTTCGCCCCAACCCCACCCACCCCTGTGAAAAAATTGTCGACCATAAAAAAATAAATATACATTGTCCTCAATTTTACAGCACCCCTGAACCCCCCCCCCCCCTCGTTGCTCTGAGCTAGTTACGGCCCTGTTACAAACGTTAAACTTACATGTTTAATATACTGCCAGTAGGGGGGGGGGGTGGAAAGGCCTAGTGGTCTAGAGTGTTGCGCCTCGAGCCCTAACTGGCCGATCACCTCTGATTTGCAGTCGTCGTTTCGATCCCTCGTGTGAGCATACGTGGTTTGGTGATAGGGGAGCTTTTTCAACCTCGTGTGTTTACTCCGAGCACTCTGGTCTCCCTCCACTAGGATAATACAAATAAGACAACTTAAGAGAAACTTGCTGGTCTTGGTGGTACTGGTATGAGTCTCGAAAGGGTTAAACCAGCCAATTTTAATTATTGTCCTTTGATATAAATGTGTATATCAGATAATCTAATCTAATGTTTATATATTATTCCACCATAAAGAAAATAAATGGGTTGATTGTAGAAAATATACCAGGATTGTTCAAATATTGAGTTTATTTATTTCCACAGTTTAACCACTGCAACCAACACCACCCGGACAGCAGCATCCGTTCTTCTTGGATAATGTGTTTCGATTCATCACTGAAAGAAAAGAATGAATGATGTCGTTCCATGACCCGTAACTATCTCTGAACGTAAAATGCGTGACTGTCCAGTTCATATGGGGTTATATGGAGATGATGTCACCAGTTACTAACAGCGATTGAAAATGAAGCTATAATCAATGATCTCGCCACAAATATTTTAATCTGTGCTATTGTTGTCGTCATTGATCGTAGTCCCATTTTCATTGGCTATTGCAATCCGCGACGTCCTCTCCCCAGCTCCATAAGGGAAAAGGCGATAACAGCCGCCCTTCTTGTCTGCGATATCACCCAAGGTGTAAGCGGACGTTAAACCTAAAAGCATCTTGGTATTCTTCTCAGTAGGCTATCGTTACCTTGGTAATATCCGGGATGTAAATATCATATTCCCACAATCGATATAATCAAGCCTAGAAACCATGACAACATATGATAATTCCATGTAAATCAAAATGGCATGATTACTACCATGGGCAGTTGACGGCGGTGGGTCGAGGATAAGAAAACGATGATTCGATCATCGACATACCGCGTCTTTACTAAAGACAACTATCGTCTAGGACGGACAGAGTCCAATTTAATATCTCCACCCTTCGTTCGACAAAGCATAATGAAACCGAAATATGATACATTTTGCTATATGGTATAATAATAGCCGCTATAACATCCTTACTTTTATTGAGATGATCCATGTAACCCAGCAGTTATAAAACCCTTACATTTATACAGGGGGATCGCGTGGCTAAGTGGGTAAGACGCTAGCTCGCTATACTGGAGGTCGGGTGTTCGATCCCTGCATTGGCCGAGAAAGTTCATCAAGATTTTCCGGCGTGCTTCTCCCTTGTCAGTGATGCAGGACGGAGGGGGCTGACAAGGAAAGCTGTCTAGTCATTCGGATGGGACGAAAAACCGAGGTCCCGTGTACACATTGGCGTGCACGTAAAAGATCCCTTGGCAGTTGGAATTCGATATAAGAGTAGGCCGTAGTGGGGCTTTCCGGGCAAAATTTCCCTCATAGCACACTGTATGGCGTATGCCCGTCTTCATTAGCCCAGGTTAGGAGCAGAACAGTAGGACGTTAAACTCCATTTCATTTCATTTACATTTATACAGATAAACCACATGACCTAGCAGCTATAACACCCATACATTTATAAAGATGAACCATATAAACTAGCAGCTATAACAGCCTTACCCTTATTAAGATAAACCATATAACCTACTAACATTTATAAAAATGCACCATATAACCTAGCAGTTATCCTTACATTTATATCGACGAACCACATAACTTAGCATCAATAACATTCTTACTTTTATTAAGAACAACCATATAACCTAGCAGCTATAACATCCTTGGCTTTATTGAAGAGAGTCATATAGGAAGAACAGCCTTATTAAGATGAACCATTGCAGCTACAACTGTAGCAATAATATAGGCTTCCAATTCGTGAACAACTTTTATTAGATAGGACATCATGTAATGTTATGGAAACAGATCATATATACTATTCAAAAAAAGTAGGGGATATTTGATTTTGGGGGCATAATACTAAAATATGCAAATGACTACGAAAAAAGTCACTATAGAACCTAACAGAAGAAACATTTCCAGTTACATGTGACGCCCAAACGCACCAATAGCTACCGCATGGAATGCAGGTGATGCTTGGGATCATCATGGGGGTCCAACCCAAGATTTGCACGACTCTGACTTTGAATGTTACAGTCATTGTGGCATTGAATTCCAGGGTGGAAACATCAGTTTAATTGTTTTAGTGACCAGAAAACAAATTTTGATATGCGTCGGCTTACCCAAAATGAAAGGTTACGTGCCCTTGGCATGCTACAGATCGGCACAACACAGGCGGTTGTGGCGCGGACGATGAATGTTTCTCAGTCTGTCATAAGCAGGCTATGGTCCAGATACCGTGATACACAATCTGTACAGGACAGACCACGCTCAGGTCGACCAAGGGCGACAACTCAAACCCAGGATCGATTTATCCGTACCTTGGCCTTGAGAAATCGTGTCATCACAGCAAATCAGATCAGCGCTCGTCTTCAAACAGACACTGGTGTTAGAGTGAGTGGCCAGACGATTCGGAATCGACTGCATAGGGGTTACCTTCGCGCCCGACGTCCTCGTGTGATCCCTTGTTTGAGAGATCATCACATTCAGGCAAGACGTCGTTGGTGTAGGGATCGTCAACACTGGGATAATCGACGCTGGAGCAATGTGATGTTTTCAGATGAGTCAAGGTTCACTGTTGATTTTTTGGACAGACGTAGGAGGGTGTGGCGTCGTCGAAACGAGCGCTTCCAAGACGTTAACGCCATCAGACATGATCGATTTGGGGGTGTATCTGTTATGGTGTGGGGAGGCATCACTGTTGCTGGAAGAACGGCTTTACATGTTGTTGCAGGGCGTGTTACAGGCCAGTACTACCGGGACAACATCTTGGCAGTCCATGTTGTGCCGTTCGCACGACGTCATGGCCGCCGTTTCATCTTCCAGGATGACAACGCAAGATGTCACAGGGCCAGGATCGTTACCGGTTACCTCCAACAACAGAACATCACCACATTACCTTGGCCAGCACTGAGTCCCGACCTCTCCCCCATCGAGCATGTCTGGGACATGCTTGGACAGAGGTTACGTCAACGTCAACAACGTCCTGCCAATGTCCAAGAACTTGCTGCTGCGTTGCAACAGGAATGGGACAATCTGGACCAAAATGACCTTAGACGTCTCATTAGGAGTATGCCACGTCAGATCAATGCTTGTTTGGCAAACAGAGGAGGATTTACCCGTTACTGACTTGGTTGTGATGCTGTGGTAACTTTGCTGTTTGACCCCAGGTATCATTTTACCCTTATAATGGTCAGTCTGTGCCTTACTTAGTCTAACGATCATTTGGAATAAATCGATGAATGTGAACTTCATTTCATTTTGTCATTTGTTTCTTCGTCAGTTTCATTAGGTGACTTTAATAACACTTAAAAATCAAATATCCCCTACTTTTTTTGAATAGTATATTTATATATAAAAATGAACCATAGCCTAGTTTGGCAGACACATCTGGGACGTATCAATAATCATATCAGCTATAACACTTACTTTTATTAAAAACCAATAACCATAGCAGCTATAACCCCCTTAATTTTTTTAAGAACCATATAACCTACTAGCCACCGAACTCCTGTCGTTATTAACCCAGCAGCTATAACACTCTTACCCTTATTAAGAAGAACCTGGCCCACAGGAATAGCCATCGTTAATACTGTTCCAGTCAGCAGCAATAACAGCATAGTTACAAGTAGTAGAAGCCTCATTTCGTTTTCCCTTTTATTCTGAAATGAACCAGAAATGAACGGTTACTGAACAACTGATCAAGATTTTAATAATTTCATACAAACCATAATAAATTCCTTTACCTCCATCTTTCATGTAATTCAAAATAGTTGGGGTTGGGGATTACGTAGGAAAATGGGAAGGAGTAGGGATGTCATTATATTGAATAGTAAAATCGCTGCAACCCACCACGGTTAGCATTGCATATTGTTTATTAACTGGGTTAATGATGGTGGGTATACGTTATGCTAGGAGGTAAATTTTGTTGGGACATTGGCGTTTCCAACTACTGTTGAGTACACGAAACATTGGGGTTTTTTTTCGTCCCTTCCGAATGACTAATTGATTTTCGTTGCCAGTCCTGCACCACCAACAACCGGAAATCACGTTGTTAATTTCATGGTAGTATGCAAATCAGAGGTTAAACAATAACGGCTTATGAATGCGAAATGAAATGGGGTTTAACGTCCTACTTTTCTGCGCTAACCCTGACAGGGTTCTTTTACGTAAATAGTAAGCAAATCTTGCATCTTGGACGATACATAACACTACATAACATGCCTTATCATCTGTGCAAGTCATGTGTACGATTAAACGGGGATGGGGTGACCGAATGGTTAACGCGTGCGCGTGAAGTCATAAGGTTTGTCATTGAGTCGAGTGGCGTGGTTTCAATTCCTCGCTTGTACGTAACAAGGAGTAGGATCGCGTATTCAGCCTCGTGGTTTGTCTCTGAATCCTCCGGTTTGCCCCCACAGCTAACGACCCCTACGGGCAAGTGAATTATTGAAAAAAAATTTGGTTTGTGTCGTGTGGACGTTAAACCCCATTTTCACACACAATCAGACATTGTATCCGATCACCTATACAAGAGAATGGGGGGGGGGAATTAAATGTATAGCCTGTCTCTTGAACGAGTCTTGTCACTCTCTATATGGATAACATTTTATAATTAATAGAGAGAGGGAGAGAGAGAGAGAATGGGGTTTAACGTCCACTCGACACAAACTAGGTCATTTTGTGACTTTTATTTCATTAATTCGCTTGCGGTTGGTGGTGGTGGTGGTGGGGGGTCTTTAGCAGTGGGAGGAAACCGTCTAATACTATAGGGGTTATTTTAGTTCTATGAAAGGTGCTCTGGTTGAAGTGGTTAAATAAATTGGTGACAACAAGGAATTGGCTAGGTAGGTATTTTGAAAGATTCAACTTTCTTAGACTAACTCACAGACAGTTCCTGTCGCCAACATTTGCGGAAAGTACACAGATTAGTCCAATTAAATAGAATAATATTGACGTAAAACGGTGCCCATACTAAACACTTACCCAAAAATAGTAATTGCCTCGCCGTAATAGCTGACACATCTATACTTTCTATATAAGAAAGGGCCAGGTTAAATTTCCCTTCAGACACCATTTGGAGTTCTCGGGGAAGACATCATCCCGACTTCATAGAGCGGTGCTAGTGGAACGGCTTGAAGCCCGACGGATATCACCAAGTAGACTTAGAAGGAGGAGCGTACCGCTACGAAACACAAGCTAGTGGATAGGGAACTTATATTTAGCTTATATTAAATGTCATAGCTGTGTGTGTAGTTTCCTGTATATAACCGTTGTATTATGGATGTTATAAAGATTTAAAAACATAGACCAGCGTAAAGTCCTACCCAGAAAAAGCATAGTGTCACAACCGGAGGACCCGGACAAAACCCACGAGGTTAGACAGGCGACCCTACTCCTTGTCACGTACAACCAGGGAATCGAAACTACGCCAGCTGACTCAATGGCAGACCTTATGATACAACACGCACGCACTAATCATTAGGCCATCCAACCCCGCCTATAATTTTTTGCGGGAGGGGAATTTAAATAAGGCCAAATCCCATAATTGAATGTTTTGTCCGTCGTATTATATTAATATTATTGAATAGTTCACATCTGTTGCTCGTCTGTCGTATATTTCACATTTATTCATATTGTATTGAATATCTATAATTATATCTTGGTTAACCCTCTTTATACGTCAACCAATATCACTATACCTTTACTTTGTACTCCTATATCAAGGATAACTGGTTTTATTAAAATTAGAATCGGCAAGTACGTTGACGTTTTTTATTCTTATATCAGGAGTATCAGTAGTAATATTGAAATTAACGTTAATTGTATGCTATAAGAAAAATCTTTGAAGGACATTTAGTGAAAGCAATATATTATGGATAGCTTTATGGATAGCATTCACTAGGTTTATGAACTGCAACTGTTCATTGGGTATACTATCACCGTTATGAAGATTTTGTTCCGTCATTGTACAGTTTTCATATTGCACAGGTCAAAGGATATTGCACAGGTCAAAGGATATTAAACAATATTCTAGTTGAAAATTTGAGACACTGGATACAACGCTAGATATTGTCTATGCCAACCGCGGGGGACACAGAGGCACTGGCTCATTTTAGCCAGAAGATCTATTTACCAAGGCCACCTGCAGATTTACTCAAGTTAACGAGATGTAAACAGGGTTAGGCCACGTGATTGTTGCCGTGGATTGTGGTTAGGGTACGGCGTAGGGTTATGGTTAGCGCTAGCCCTGTTTACACCTCGTGACCTTGAGGAAATCTGCAGATGGCCTTGGTAAATAGATCTAGCTGGGTTCAATACCGCTGTTGGCCGATACGGTACCTCTGGATTTTACCGCGTGGCTGTCCCTTGTCGGTTGTGTAGACCGTGCGGCTTTTAAGGAAAAGTGTCTAAGAATCTGAATTAGAAAAACAACAAATATCACAACAACTTGTAAAACTTGCTACAAGTAAAAAGTAGTACTCCGAATGTAATGATCTATGGCGAGCTGTGTATTTATCCCCTGCAGGTACTTATAAAGTGTAGAATGGTTAGTTTCTGGCATAAAATTGAAACTGTATCAAAGTCAAAGTTTGCATATTTAAAGATACATTATGGGAGATTCGATAACGAGTTGGCAGTTCTCACTATAATAGTTAAAAACTAGATAATGAAAAGGCAATATGCTGAAAATTTCATTCAAATTGATCCACTATGAACCGAGAACTAAGCGATTGAAATTTCCATCTTGCCTCGATCACCATTACTAAAGTCAGTACGATAAACAGCAGAGTCTCGATTATCCATTTAATCGTTAAATCGTGAAGGAAAGTTATTCAGTAAATCGGCTCATAATCCACTAAAGTTCGCAGGCTAGCGATGCCATCGAGAGTTGATTATGGCCTGGATAGGTTAATTAATGTCTAATTAATAATTTAGATAACATTTCAGGCCTAAAGAAAGACCTGCAATAGACATATTTGGCTCTTACATAATGTATGTTTCATGTATGATATATTTTATAAATCAGATGATTCTAACACGTGGTTAACTTGTATAAAAGAGACTTTAAATTCTACTGGTTTGTCTAATATTTGGAAATTCCAGCTAGTAATATTGACGGTAAATGGTTAAAACAATGTTTATTATTAAGGTTAAGAGACCATTATCTGCAGGATTGGCATAGTTCTATTAATACCTCGAATAAATGTGCTAATTACTGTCTGTGTAAATCTACTCACAAGCATGAAGCATATCTAACTGCTTTACCTGTAAAATATAGTCGCTATTTTGCTAGATTTAGATGTCGAAGTCATAGACTACCGATCGAGTCTGGAGTGTTTTTACAAATCCCCAGAGAAAATCGAATCTGTGACCTTTGTTCAGATAACGAAATAGGCGATGAAATTCATGCAGTTTTTAAGTGTCCATTTTTCCAGAGTGACCGAATAAAATATTTAAAACCTTATTGCCCATTTTCCCTAATTGTCGTACGATATATAAGCAGGAGTTTACTGACAGCAAGTCAGACTTGGAATAGAGCTCCTCCCGATTTATGTCTTTTTCTAGTTCTTAATAAAGGTCTTATCAATTATGCTGATCTCCTGTTATCTGTAGTGTTACACTAATGTAGATAACTTATATAAATATATATATATATATATCCAGAAATATTATAAAAACCGTAAAGCTGTACTACTTTGTTTCACGGTAAACGATGAAAAGATGAAAGGTATGCCGACATAAACTGATTTCAACACTGATTTAATAACATTTTAAAGTACTTTTTCGTCCGTTTTGGGACTATTCATAAATAATGTCACTGTATAACGATCAATATATATATGTAGCGTATTGTCCAAAATCTGTCGGGGATTGGATAGCCGAATGGTTAGCACGTGCTTGCTGTATCATAAAGCCTGTCATTGAGTCAACTGGCGTGGTTTCGAATCCCCGGTTGTACGTGACAAGGAGTAGGGTCGCCTGTCCAACCACGTGGATTTTCTTCGGGTCCTCCGGTTTCCTCCCACTGCTAAAGACCCCTACGCGCAAGCGAATTATTGAAATAAAATTAAACCATATGTTAGTACCGAAGTGACCTAGTTTGTGTTTAGTGGACATTAAACCCCAACCCCATCTCCAACCACGTGGATTTTCTTCGGGTCCCCCGGTTTCCTCCCACTGCTAAAGACCCCTACGCGCAAGCGAATTATTGAAATAAAATTAAACCATATGTTAGTACCGAAGTGACCTAGTTTGTGTTTAGTGGACATTAAACCCCATCTCTCTCTCTCTCTCTCCAAAATCTGTCATTGATTGTATGAACTATTTATGTAAATTGCATTCATATGTTTCATTGTGAGATCTGATTAAAGATTATTATTATGTTAGTCGTACAAAGTGTAGGGGGAACGCAGCTATCCAAGTCCGTCTTCGATCATTATCTGGGTTGTTCAAGAAACGTAGAACTTTAAATACCATTTCTTTTCTTTCAGATTGCGGCATTGACTGTCACATAAGGTGAATAGTATAACAGTAATAATGATTATGAGGTATTATTTGATACCACTATTAATACTGGAATGTTGTCTACTTGTATTAAGTGTACCTATTAAAACAGCTGTGACACCTCATAAGAAACCAGATGTTCGACCTTACAGAGAAACTGGTAAGATATTTAATGATAACAGGACAGAATATTTATCATACTAAACTTACGCTGTCTGTCCACAATTAGTTCCGCTTGAGAACAGACACTAAGCTAGTTGACCGACATTTTAAGTCCTAAATAGACGATTTTAGTCGAAAGCACTAAGTATAATTTCGATAATTTTGATTCCGCTTTTCGCTTTCATTTAATAAAATTGAAAAGGTGAACAGATGTGAACTGGAGTAGAACCGCATTACAAAACAGTTGGATATGGCGTTCATTTAGGACAGGGACCTATTTTTTTTTTAAATAGTTTATTTACAAAAGTCATAAGTACAATCATTTATGCATAAAAATATTTACAATGCAATATACAATTTATAATTAAATGCAGTAGACCTATATACAGTTGGTTCATTCCCATATCGCCGACTCACCGAGTTTTAGGGGAAAAATTTTGGTCGACGTTATGGGAATGAGTGGCTAAGAACAATAGACCCAAGCTGAAGGATAAACCTCATTAAGCAGATTATTTTGGGAGCATTAATTTTTTTTTAATTTATAACAATCTTTAACACCTAACATAACACAATTTTAAATTTTTGCACGCATAAAGTGTCCAACATAGTTCGAAAATTCTAATAAATTTAGTCTTCCTTGTTCATATCTATGCTTGAAATCTTCAATCTTCCTGTTGATATCGGTGTATTTTTTCATTTGGAGTGGTTGTCGCTGGCCACTTGCATACTGCAGTGACTGAATTTCAATCGTCTTTTGCTCTTCTTGCAAAAATGTAATCACTTCAAAATATTAGGATGAGCTTTTCCAATTAATATTTTTAGCCGTCCGTGCTAATATGAAATGTCTTAGAATGATTTACGTATTTATACTTATTGAGAAATAATCACAATGAACTGAATTTCGATCACCTGTCAGGTTCATGTTGAACTGCAGTATATTATTTTGTTAATCAATGAGTGAGTTGAATTGACAAAATTCAAGTTCATGTAATTTAAGTGAACTATATTCATTTTATTAATTAGTGAGTGAGTCGACTTCTGATAAAAATCAATTTCAGTGAACTATATTAATAATGACTGGTCCCTGCTTCATTAACGCTTTTAATCCGTTTTAATCCCATCAAAGGATGCCGAGGTCGACTTTCCAAAACTCGGTGAGTCGGCGATATGGGAAGACCCCATACAGGTTCAATATAATAATTGTATTGTACGCTAAACTTATTTATTATTTTCAATTGTTATTTACATAAGTCAATATAAAATAATATGTACAATCGGTAATGTACTACAATATAATATTTACATTCCTACATTTACATTCCTATTTTTGGGTATAGACATTTTAAGTTGTCAATGGCTTAGCGCCTGGATGAAAGAGAGTGACATATTCTCGACGTAGGAAATGAAATGAAATGTGGTTTAACGTCCTACTGTTCTGCTCCTATACTGGACTAATGAAGACGGGCATACGCCATACAGTGTGCTATGAGGGAGATTTTGCCCGGGCAGCGACACTATCGCCTACTCTTATATCGAATTCCAACTTCCAAGGGATCTTTTACGTGCATTCCAATGTATACACGGGACCTCGGTTTTTCGTCTCATCCGAAGGACTAGACAGCTGTTCTTGTTAGGCCCTCCGTCCTGCATCACTGACAAGGGGGAACCACGCCGGAAAATCTGGATGAACTTTCTCGACGTAGGGTACATGCAGATAGTTCTCTATGTGCAGAATAAATATTTATGCGAAGCAAACACTGGGGTTGTATTATATAAGCACGGCGTTTCGTCAAGTATTCTATTATCGTTATCATTATTATTCAAGAGCTAAATCCGTCTAATAAAGAGCTGTCGTTTGGTCTCAAATGTTATATACATCATTAATTAGATATTTATTTACATGTCAAACCCATAATCAACTCTCTAGAAACTTCGGATGGTTTTGATTTTTAACATATTTAAATACATTGGCAGTTAATGATTTAATTAAATAATGGATAGTCGAGACTTTGTCCATTATCGTAACAATTAAGACTTCACTGTTCTTCAAACGACGATAACTCCGCTTAGAATGATGTAATTTAACTTCTTCAACATTCATTATCTATTTGTAACTGTCCGCTATTTATCTAAATCTTACATACTGCACCTGTCATGGGTTTCTCAATCGGGGGGTTGGATGGCCGAAGAGAGAGAGAGAGAGAGAGAGAGAGAGAGAGATTGGGTTTAACGTCCATTCGACACAAACTAGGTCATTTCGGAACTAACATATGGTTTAATTTTATTTCAATAATTCGCTTGCGCGTAGGGGTCTTTAGCAGTGGGGGGAAACTGGAGGACCCGGAGAAAATCTACGAGGTTGGACAGGCGACCCTACTCCTTGTCACGTACACCCGGGGATTCGAAACCACCACGCCAGTTGACTCAATGACAGGCTTTATGATACAGCACGCACGTGCTAACCATTCGGCCATCCAACCCCCCTGGATAGCCGAATGGCTTGCGCATGCGCGTTGTATCTTAAAGTCTGTGATTGGGACAACTGGCGTCCAGCCTCGTGGGTTTTCCCCAGGTACTCCGGTTTCCTTCCACTGCTAAAGCCCCCTACGCGCAAGAGAATTATTAAAATAGAATTGAAACATATGTTAGTCCCGAAATGACCTGGTTTGTGTCGAGTGGACTGTAAACCCCAATATAAAAAAACAAGAAATAGGCCGATTATTATGTCACCACAACTGGATAATCAAATAACGTACTATTTATGAATAACAATTACTATGGTTTATTACACTGCGACGTTTCAATAAGATTTCACAAATCCTTATCAAGTATTTATCTATTTGTGTATATATGCTTGATAACGACATGTTACAAACAATACTGGAGTCCTGAGCATAATAAATCCCTTTCAGCTGTCGTGTTAGAGATAATCTTTAGTAAGTACATAGTATCTACGATTAATTAGTGTTGAAATAGCAGCTTAACAGAAGAAAACGCTATCACATCAATTAGTGCCTCTCCACCTGCAGTAATTACAATTAACTGATTTAGAGATGAAGACGCCAGAAAAAATGGATGGGACAATATGTAAATTACTGAATTAAATCAACCTGTCCATAATATCACGTACAATGTATTGAACGTTAAATTTGCAATAAAAAACAACATGGGGGATCTACCAACTCTTTTAGTTGCTAAATGAAATAAAATGAAATTGGGTTTAACGTCTTACTGTTCTGCGCCGACTAGGCTAAAGAAGACGGGCATACGCCATGCAGTGAGCTATGAGGAAAATTTTGCCTGGATAGAGGCGCTGTAAGGCCTACTCTTATATCGAATTCCAACTGCTATGGGGATATAAGGGAAATTTTGCCCAGATAGCGGCGCTATGGTCTAGCCTTATATGCCAAGCTCTTGGCCATTGCTCAGATTTTTCACCGAAACACAACCACGGGGTTCTTCATTCTAATCCTTGGTACCTTGTTTCAAAAATATATTCAACAATATGATTTCAGGGAGCTCTTAAGTATCGTTTTTTATCTAACGAGCTGCGAATACGAAGATTTCTCATTTTTAAGTAACAGAAGAAAGATATTTACAGAGGTGACTAAATATGAAGAACTTGGGGGGGGGGGGCGACAAGGGGTTTGGCATAGGGATGGTATGGGAGTTGGGTGATCTAGCATGTGTTCTTTAGATCATAAGACATGCCATAGAGTCAAGTGACGTGGTTTCGATTCCAAACTTGTACGGCACAAGGAGTGGGGGCACCCGCCCATCCTCTCGAACTTCTCTGACACTCACCACTGCTAAAATGTTCTACACGCATGCAAATTATTGACATTAAGTTGTACTCTCTCTTGATGTAATTAACGTATTTATGTATGAAAGAGGAATAAATTGAGATAATTAGTGTTGTACAATTATAATAATTACAGTTAATCTGTAATGGCCAATCATCTCTTTTCTAACAAATACACATGGTACTGATAAGGATCCGAAGGTAAGTTACCCCACCATTGTAGATTCATCCCATAACAGGCTTAGCATGGGTTTTACCAATACAGTTATATATTCCTCCAACAGAGAATAGAAGTGCCAGAACCATTCACTCATCAACGTATTCAGTGACACATCCAGGAAATCTTCTCTGCCGCCACCAACCGGAATACATGTACATTCTACTGCAACTCACGGGAATACATTCTCCACACTGCTGTTACTGTCACTCGATCAGAATACATTCTCTAGACTGCTGTCACTGACGGGAATACATTTTCTAGATTACTGTCACTCGATCGGAATACATTCTCTTGACTGCTGTCACTCACCGGAATACATTTTCTAGATTACTGTCACTCAATCGGAATGCATTCTCTGGACTGCTGTTACTGATCGGAATACATTTTCTAGATTACTGTCACTCGATCGGAATACATTCTCTAAACCGCTGTTACTGATCGGAATACAATCTCTAGACTGTTGTCATTCACCGGAACTAACAGAAACATGTCGGACTTAAACATTTCTACAACTATGGCGGACAACGTCACGTGTATCGTCAGTAATATGACGGCATCACAATCTTCAGTATTACTTTACGTCACTGTAGGAAGTCTTCAATCTGCATTGATAATAATCAGCAATTGTCTCATCATAGTCAGTGTTGTCAAGTTCCCTCGGCTTCGAATAACCAGTAATCTGTTAATAGCTAATCTAGCAGTGTCTGATCTTCTTGTTGGCGTAATTTTAATTCCGCTCAATTTGGCTTGTATAATGTACCCCTCTCTAAACAATAACAAATATTCCTGTATAATAAAAGTGTTTAATTGGGTGCTTATTTTTGGAAGTGCAATGTTCGGATTGTTATTAATATCATTTGATCGAGTCTTCGCATTAGCGACTCCGTGGAAATATCATGTCACCAGTACAAAATTAATTTCTTTATCAGCTTGTCTGTTTACTTGGATTTTTTGGATATCGACGTGCGCTTTGTCATTTTTTGTTTTTAACCATTGGAATTGTTGGAGACTGTGCACCGTACCCAATGTTGTCCGGAAGAGTGCCTTTCAATTCATTGCTGTCATTTTGGGAATCGGTTTTCTACTTAGTTGTTTGTCATTTCTATTAATCTTATTCAAATTATTTAAATTCGACAGTCGGAACACTTCGAGACGAAACACGGATATCAAAAAAAGAACGAGTATAATGGCGCTGGTGTTCGGCCTGTTTGTACTATTTTTAATTCCCTTGTTAATTAGCGCTTTTTATGCCAGCAGTGTTGACGTCATTGAGAACCGGATGATGATAGAGTGGCTTGTGTTACTTTGTAGCACGAATTCCGTTGTTAATGGATTCATCTATGGCTGGAAAAGACCGGAATTTCGTAACGCGTACTTGGCCATTCTTCTCTGTAAAAACCGCAACCGTATTCAGCCATCCTCATCCCACACGAAAGGGTCTTCTAATTTGGGGATTCGGGACAAACCGGTTTCTATAGTCGGCGTTGTACAGAAAGCAACGATCGTGCCAGACGTAACCAGTGGCTAGTGCGAATGGTTACCACGTGGTTTGCCGTCATCTTAATCAAATTATAAAGAATATCTTGCAACTTTAGTCGATTATGACAAAATTTAGGACTAAATGACAAACTACATAAAGAAAATGCTCAAACGCCATGAATCCACTAGGGGACTAAGTTCTTCTTCAATACAGTCAGCTTGAACTCGACAAAAGGTCTTTTGTGTTTGCAGCACCATATTTCTGGAATCAATTACTAATTAAAATTAAACAATCCAAATCTATCTAAGCATTAAAAACCCACCTTTGTGACAAAGTGCTCTAATATTAAGTACTCGTATCATATTAGGATTGTATTGTATACATGTAAAGTATTTATTTAAATTCATAGAAGAGAGGGACAGGCTCATTCGAGCTCAGCCGCTATTGAGGCAGAAGGCGAAATGGTTGAAATAATTAATGTACCGTGTTGATGTTATTGTTTATGTTCCTGATATACGTAGTTTAGTTTCTGTTTAATATTATATTCCTGTTGTATTTATGTAGCTGTTTTATATACCTGATGTAAATAAATGATATATTTACTAAACTGATCTCTGTTATCACTAAAATAGTGTTACATCTTTTTTAAAATAGTATTATGTGACCAACGAGAAAATAAAAGTAAACACAACAGTTCTATGGATAACAATTACATAGAACTGATGTGTTTATTTTTAATGTGTTCAATTACTAAATGCCACTAAAACAGTATAAACGAGAAAATATTTGAAAACGCATTAGAAGAGAAATAGAAATGGGGTTTAACGTCCACTCGACACAAACTAGGTCATTTCGGGACTAACATATGGTTTAATTTTATTTCAATAATTCGCTTGCGCGTAGGGGTCTTTAGCAGTGGGAGGAAACCGGAGGACCTGGAGAAAACTCACGAGGTTTGACAGGCGACCCTACTCCGAAAACGCACTAGGAACTAAATGTTTTATATACCCGTTGTAAATAAATAATATATTTACTAAATTGATCTCAGTTATCACCAAAATAGTGTTACATCTTTTTCAAAATAGTATTATATGACCAACGAGGAAATGCTTGAAAGCGTATTAGAAAATAAATGTTTAATAATCATGCGCTATATAACCATGCGCTATATTATTATTATTCAATAAGTTCTGTGACAAACATTGATTAATGAAGCCCCACCAATTTGATTTTTTTTCTTCTACGCGAACATCAATTAAAAATTCTGACTACAATGAATTAAAGGGGCATTAGGTAAGATTAGATAAAAAGCTGAAATTTCTCGCTATAATAGTTAAAAGATAGATAATGAAAAGAGAATATGCTGAAAATTTCAATCAAATTTCTTTACTATGAACCTAGATATTAGCGATTCAATTTTAGGCTAGCCCCGACCGTCATTACTACCATTGTACAGTTATTTCATCCACGCCACAGATCAAAAAAACATCGCAGGCATCCGATGGCATCGAGAGTTGATTATGGTCTTGATAAGTTAGTTAATGTCTAATTTAAGATACATTATGTAAGATTTGGATAAAGAGCTAGCCACATTCTTGCTATAATAGTTCGAAAACAGATAATGTAAAATGAATAATTTGAAAATTTCATTCAAATTACTCTATTGCGAGCGAAGATATATAGCCTTTGTTGACGGTTTGACAAGACGTGTGCAATAATTTCAACCACCGTACTGGTTGTTCGACGCTAAGTCTCGCTCCTCCATTTTTAGCTTAAATCAAAATATGGCTGAACTGTTCTAATGTATTTAATATCGGAGAAATCCGATGCCATCGCGAGTTGATTATAGCCTGGATAAGTTAATTAATGTCTAATTAATAATTTAAAAAAACATTTCCTGCCTAAAGAAAGACCTGCAATAGGCAGATTTAGCTCTTGCATAATGTATGTTTAATTACTTATTTTGTTTTTTTTTCCTTTTACAGATCCTGTAATCTTAACGGAAGTAATCCTAACACCTACAACCAAAGCGAGGCCACCAACGACTACGGTAACAACAACAGTAGCGCCCTCTAAAAATATAACACAGGACAACAACAAATACACAAACCGCCACATGTCAAACAATCGACAACTTCCAGCGTGACTAAGTCGTAATTCCATCATTCTTCACACATCTATAGCCGGTTGTGATTCACGGGGACATCATGAGGGAGGTGTTATTGAGCTGAGGTGTTATTGTAGTGTGTTATAGATCAAGTCATACGATTAATGTTTTGTTTTGAAAGATTAAGCATAAGTCGGATTGTTGGCTAATTTTAGCTTAAATTTCGGTTCATTGTGTGGACATAAAATCCGGTTATATCTAATCAAGGGCTTTATCTATGGATATAATATTTCTACGAAGATCGGGGCCCCACAAAATAGTTTAACACATAAAATTCGGTATAAAAAAGTGCTAGAGTGTATGTATTTTTGTGTATTAATTAACGGTGTTTTAATAGTTTTTGTTCAATTGGTACTTAGTGCATATATATCCACGTTACTAAAAACAAACATACATAATATGTAATAATAAAGGAGTTATAAGAGGTGGTTGGTGTGGGGGTGGGGGCTGACCAAAGAGAGAGCGAGAGAGAGAGAAATGGGGTTTAACGTCCACTCGACACAAACTAGGTCATTTCGGAACTAAAGTATGGTTTAATTTTATTTCAATAATTTGCTTGCGCGTAGGGGTCTTTAGCAGTGGGAGGAAACCGGAGGACCCGGAGAAAACCCACGAGGTTGGACAGGCGACCCTACTCCTTGTCACGTACAACCGACGAGGTTGGGCAGGTAAGTACGACCGGGGAATCGAAACCACGCCAGTTGACTCAATGACAGACCAAACTGCAAACACGACGAATTGGTCAATTTAATTCAACATTGATGTTGTTATCCTACCGTTAAAAGATATCCAATATTTAAGACAAAATGAAAATTTTAAAATTAGCACACGAATCGCGTACCAGAATGCTTTCGAGTGCCATTTGTAATGCAGCAACTCGGAGAACGAGGCTACACATGTACCACAGATTAGATTTATTTCATAATGCCAGCTTCAAGTTTGGTCGAAGGTCACGAGATGTTAACAGGGCTAGCGCTAATCCAAACCCTAACCTAACCCCGGACCCAACCCTAACGCTTACCCTAACCCTAGCCTACAATCTTGCCAACAAGAACCTGTCCTAACCTTATTTACATGTCAGCAAATTTGACGAAGTCTTGAGTTGGTTTTTAAGAAATGGATCTAGCTATATCCTCCAGGAGAATACTACCGGTTTAGACCGGAATAACAAGACAATGATTTCCATTCAGTTTGAACTCTTTTCGTATGTCGTCGAACATAACTGACTAGAAATTAGAGTAAAAACATAAACGATTAAATGTTAATCAATTTATATACATTCATATTACATTATTATATGCATTGCTACCCATTTGTGTCAATTTCTAGTAGCCAAAGAATATTTATTACAGAGAGAGAGAGAAATGGGGTTTAACGTCCCTTCGACACAGACTAGGTCATTTCGGGACTAACATATGGTTTAATTTTATTTCAATAATTCGCTTGCGCGTAGGCCTGGGGTCCTTAGCAGTGGGAGGAAACCGGAGGACCTCAAGAAAACCCACGAGGTTGGACAGACAAACCTACTCCTTGTCACGTACAACCGGGGATTCGAAACCACGCCAGTAACTCACTGACAGGCCTCATGATACAGCGCGCACGTGCTAACCATTCGGCCATCCAACCTCCCTATGTATTACAGCTTAACCAGCTGTGCGTTGGGGTTGTGAGGGCTTTGTCTTGACAGCGATGTTTCCAACTATTATTTTCGAATTCCAAGTACCATGGTACGTGTATTACCAATTTATACATTCGGCGGCAGTATTTTTAGCATCCGAACGATAAACACCCATCCACCAATCCGCTGGAACCTAGCCCGACATATGAAAATCTGTTTCTTGCTACCGAACTTCAATTTGAATTCGTTGGTTGTCTAAATGCTATTGTTAAGACAAGGTAGGAACACTGTGCACAAAGTAGAACAACTAGAGTATCTTTTTATCCATTCCTCAGAATGTAATCCAACCTTAATCTTACTCTGGTACAAACAACCAGAAGGTGGTTGTTTGTACTAGAGTAAGGTTAAGGTTGAACCAGAAGGAGGTACTTTGTACCAGAGTAAGGTTAAGGTTGGATTAGGGTAATCCTAATTATTATTCGTAAACCCTGTGGTGACGAGGTAATCTTAATTCGTAAACATCGTGATTACGAGGTAATCTTTATTCGTAAACACTGTGGTTACGAGGGAATCTTTATTCGTTAATACTCTGGTTACGAGGTAATCTTTATTCGCTAATACTGTGGTTACGAGTTAATCTATATTCGTAAACACTGTGGTTACGAGGTCATCTTTATTCGTAAATACTGTGGTTACGAGGGAATCTTTATTCGTTAATACTGTGGTTACGAGGTAATCTTTATTCGCTATATATATATATTGTGGTTACGAGGTAATCTTTTTTCGTAAACACTGTGGTTACGAGGTAATCTTTATTCGTAAACACTGTGGTTACGAGGTAATCTTTATTCACAAACACTGTGGTTACGAGGGAATCTTTATTCGTTAATACTGTGGTTACGAGGGAATCTTTATTCGCAAATACTTTTGACGAGGTAAGACTGTTAAAGATGTGTCCGTCTATATTCTTTGAATGGCATTTAATAATTTGAACATAATCAAATAAAACACTATTTATGGATAACAATTACTATGGGTTATATTAGTGTTACGTTTCAACAAGAGTTCACAAGTTTGACAAGGACAGCTATCTAGTCGTCTGGATGGGACGAAAAACCGAGGTTCCTTATACACATTGGCGTGTACCTAAAAGACCCCCTGGCAGTTGGAATTCGACAATGCCTCTATCCGGGCAAAATTTTCCTCATAGCACACTGCATGGCGTATGCCCGTCTTCATTTGTCCAGTCGGAGCAGAGAACAGTAGGACGTTAAACCCCCATTTCATTTTATATACCAAAAGTACAAATATAGGTGATATTTTGTTGCCCTATCAATTTTATAATACTGTACCCTAAAAGTACAAATTTCATGGCCGACAAAGGCGTGATAATTGATGTACCGAGCTAGACTGACTTTGCTGTCCTATAAAGCAGTAATGTGTCTTCGAAAGCCGGGATATCGTCATCATTAGTTTAGATTAATCCTATATTATACATATTGTATCTGAACGGTAATCGTCGTAAATCCAGTATTTACGTGGCAATTTTCATTCGTAAACACTGGCTTTACAATAACATGTCCGTAATGAGACGAGCCTACTACGTATAGCTTTGATTAAGTTATAGTAGCACATTCGGACAAATGTGCCTAAAGGTCAAAGATCTGGAATATGTGCAATATATAACTATGAAAATACTTACATTTGAAGATAATGGTAATTCTGTCAACTTTGTCTAAAAGAGATCCAAATTCCGATCCTTCCAAAAGCAAAGTTAAAATCAATATTTAATGAAATTCTAAGAATTATAGGTTGTTTACCCTATCTTATGCTCATTACCAGAAAAACAACGTGTTTACACATACATTAAACTGCGATTCCTTTTCATTTTTATAATTCCTTTGATTATAATAACTTATATTATCATTGTAATGGACGTCAACATATCAATAGTTATAAATTACCCAATTATTAAACGATCTGTCTTCCGATACACGTGTCCAAACCTTCCCCCCAAAATCTTTTATTTTTTTATTCATGATCTGTAAAGTTGACTAAACTATGATACAGTTGTTTAATCAATGGGTTTTCAATCGCCATTGTGGTGGGGATTATTAACAATACATTACTAGCCTAATTATTCCATTATTAGAGTTGGTTTGTTTGTTATTTTGGTTGTTTTTCTCACGTTCGCCCATTATATCGTGAATTATTTATGACAAAATAAACCCGATCCAATGGTAGTACGAACTTGGTGGCTATCTTTTATCTACGTGAACAATACAACTACCAAATCTTTCCTGCTAGAAAGCCAAGTTGGCATTGTTTACCAGGAAACTTTGATGTGTTATCTACATTATTAACCCCTTTCTTGGGTTATTTGGTGCATAAAGTATTTATTTTGGATGTGTATTATCAAAAGGAGGAAAATGATAACATGAAATGAAATGAAATGTATTTTAACGTCCTACTGTCGTGACCTAACGGGGCTAACAATACCGTCCATACGCCGCCCCTTCCTCATCGAATTGAAGTGTACACTTGACATCATAGGCGTACAGGGAAATTTTTGACTGGGGGGGGGGGGCGGTGGTGGTTGGTGCCCCAAAAATGTAGTTAGGTTCTTAGTATGTTACATAATAATAATAAATTCGCTGTTAAATTGGACACATTCAAGAACGCAATATATTTTATACAACTTTTACAAAGTACAATTGTGTGCCAAAATTTTTCCCGGCATTTGGTGCCGCCCCCCAGCCCCCCCCCCCCCCAGCTCGTACGCCTATGCTTGACATTAGCAGTAAGTAAGTAAGTAAGTAAGTAATTTGTTTATTATAGTGTCACACACTACATTGCATACAAGAATATATATACATTACATAAAATATACATAAAATAATAGCAGTGCCCAGCCTATATCGACTTACGAGACACTTTGTTCTAAAATCAAATCATTAAAAATACTAAATAATTAAATATAATTAATAAAGTAATAAAATACATTCAGATTAACCTTCTCCTTAGTTTTAACATGTTTAAAAGACAATTAGCAAGGGTAATATTATTATTTATTTTTTAAAATATTTAAAAACAATTCTTTTGAAGATATATCCTTAACATTCTGATGTACATTAGCTTACCTTCAACATCGAATTGACTAGTCGTAGCTGTTTGGCAGGTCCTCTTTTATGCATCTCAGACAGCAGGAAAATACTTGGAAGATTCTTGTCCAATCCTGGAACTGAAGCCGGGAACTCCTGATAGTTATAATAGTCTATTTGAAAAGTAGAGAGAGAGAGGAATGGGGTTTAACGTCCGCCCGACACAAACTTGGTCATTTCGGGACTAACATATGGTTCAGTTTTATTTCTAAAATTCGCATGCGCAGTGGAAGGAAACCGGAGCACGCGGAGAAATTCCGTGAGGTTTGACAGGCGACCCTACTCGTTGTCACTTACAAGCGGGGAATTGAAGCTACGCCCCACACCTAAAGCGAATTCGAAAAGGAAATGAAATGAAATGGGGTTTAACGTGCTACTGTTCTGCTCCGACTGGGCTAATGAAGACAAACATACGCCATACAGTGTGCTATGGGCGAAATTTTGCACCACTCACAAGGGGAAATCACGTCGGAAAATCTCTATAAACTTTCTCGGCCAATGCAGGTGTTGAAAACGTGACCTCCAGGCTAGCGAGTCAGTGTCACCGTGGATCCCAATTCGAAAAGGAAGCTATACAAAATAATACAATCGGTCGTATAAACTGATCAGGGAAAGGAAATGAAATGAAATGGGGTTTAACGTGCTACTGTTCTGCTCCGACTGGGCTAATGAAGACAAACATACAGTATGCTATATGGGAAATTTTGCCCGGGCAGCGGCACTATGACCTAATCTTATATCGAATTCCAACTGCCAGGGGATCTTTTACGTGCACGTCCTCGGTTTTTCACCTCATCCGAGCGACCAGACAGCTGTCCTTCTTGGCCAATGCAGGGATCGAACACTCGACCACCAGGCTAGCGAGCTAGCGCTTACACACTTAGCCACCGTGGCTCCCGGTTTGGGATAGGGGTGACGTACTTATTGCATAGTCTTTGAAACGATCGCAGTTTATTGGGATTTCTAGCCGTAAACGGCTAATGAATCAAACTTTATGAAATGAAATTGGGTTTAACGTCCTATTGTTCTGCCCCGAACTGGGCTAATGAAGACGGGCATACGCCATACAGTGTGCTGTGAGGACATTTTGCCGGAACAGCGGCACTACGACCTACTCTTATATCGAATTCCAACTGTCAAGGAATCTTTTACGTGCACGCCAATGTGTACAAGGGACCTCGGTTTTTCGTCCCATCCGAATGACTAGACAGCTGTCCTTGTCAGACCCTCCGTCCTGCATCACTGACAAGGGGGAACAACGCCGGAAAATCTGAATGAACTTTCTCGGCCAATGCCGGGATCGAACACCCTATCTCCAGGCTAGCGAGCCTGTGCCTTACCCACTTAGCCACCGTGATCCTCCCAAACGTTATGGTTGATATGACTAGGAAAATACCACTCCCACTTCCACCTGTTCTTATTGGCTATTCAACTGATTTAATTCTTTATTTTCGGCCTAGAAACTGTAAATTCCGCGTGACATGTGGCGTGTGATCACCTGGTCAGATCACAACCATTCACAAAGAAATAAATAAAGCTAAGCCTCTCATTTGGTTACTATGCTTATATTGTGCTCACCTCGTTAGGTCAGTCAAGCGTCGCCCACAATAGTTTTCTGTAAAAAATAAGCTGTACATGTCTTTACACAATGAAGAAAACATCTGTTAGTGATCGACCACCATTCTCTGAGTTATTGATATAGATATATTTTCAAATACTTATAGCATTGAGGCATATAGTTGAATAGAATGAGGTCTCTGTATTTACTGGTACCTCTGTTGTGTGTGTTGTTAACCGTCGGATCAATAACTGTCTCAGCAGCACCGATACTAGAAAAAGGTAAGTTGTTTGACCGCTTTCAATTCGGGTACTATTCTGATATTTAATTCAATTCGGGTACTATGATTATGATCAATCTGATTAAAACACAGATCCTATTTCGTTTCGTTTTTTATAGTTCAAAATTTCGTTTTACTTGTCATTACTACACTAGAATCTGGTAGAGTTGTTATATTACCGGCGCTTTGGTTAAATTAAGTGAGAAGCCAATGAAACAGTTCTTGGCGTGTCATGCACAGACCAGTGGGTAAACAACTAGAAATGTCTGACGCCATAGGGTCAAAAGCCGCTCGTACAACCCCTGACACGACCTTCGAGAACAACTTGTCAGATCTTCATGTAGTGTAGGCCGTCGAAAGTATAAACAAACGAAACGAAATATAGATTTATATTTTAATCAGATTGGATTATGATGAGTGACTAGATTTTACGCGGGAATATCTCAGAAACACTCCAACGGTGGACCGATTACCACTCGGCATCGTATTCTACGCAAAATTTTACTCTAGAAAAGTTGGGTCTGGTTTTGTGCCCATTTGATGGACACCCCTACGCGCTGAGCCTCCAGACTAACCGCCATACAACCAAGAATAGATGTAGAGTAACGGAATCTGCCGAGGTTTGCCGAGTGACTATCGAGGTTGATCTTTGGTACTTAAGCATATTTACATTCTAAATACACTCATGTTTCTAATCTTTGCTTCTGAAGATACAGTTCAGACAAATTGTCTTATTCACTTATAACATGTGATTGGTGGTACCTTGCATATTACACAAATACAAACAATTCAACACTTCTTCTGGGAGCCGGCGTGGCTTAATGGGTAGGACTTTAGTTCTCTAGTGCAGACTATCTCAGGGTTCGCTTCCGGTATGAGCCTACATTTGCTCGGGAGTTTCCGGCCTAGGTTTCCTCGTGTGAATTGTACAGATTGGCGTGCACGTAAATGAACCCTTGGCAGTTGGAATTCTCGACACTTTTTATTAGTCCAGTCGCTGCAGAAAAAAAGAACGTTAAACCGAAATTCCATTTCATTTTAGCACTTCTGGGTTGTCTTTTTTAGGTGTGGAAAATAAAGCTCAAAACAGTAAGTTAACTTTTATTCCCTGTAAATTGCATGACGTAGTTATACAGAATTTCTCTTTTTTATATGGCATACTTGGTTTTATTCCAAGAGCACGATTTCGATAAAATAATAGCATTTAAAACTTAAAAGTCATAGGAATAATATATTTTAGATTGAAAAGTGCTACAGATTTACAGTAAAACCAACGTTATCAATATGTAATAATATTTGGTTTTCCCCTTACATACAGCCATGTGTATATAAGAAAACAGTGAATAAAGTACGGGGTGAGGTGGGTGGGTCTGTACCTGGCACCGAACAGCGCCTAGCTGATCAGATCTGAACGAAAAACCTAGGCCCCATGTACACGTTGGTGTGTGCGTCAAAGATGGATTTCATCGAAGAGTGCTCGACAATTACGTCATAGGACAGTACATGTCGTATGGTGGTCTTCAGAGAGAGAAATGGGGTTTAATGTTCACTAGGTCATTTCGAGACTAACATATGGTTCCATTTTATTTAAGAAATTAGCTTGCGCGTAGGGTCTTCAGCAGTGAGAGGAAGTCGGAAGACCCGGAGAAACGCCACGGGGTTGGACAGGCGATCCTATTCCTTGTCACGTACAACCGGGGAATCGAAACCACGTCAGTTGACTCAATGACAGACCTTGCAAGTGCTAACCATTCGCCACCCCTAGCCCCCCACCCCACCCCACCTTCATTAGACAAGTTGAAGAACCTGTGACTTTAAACCCCATTTCATTTAGCTATAGCTGTAACACGTGGTTGTACATGTCATAGAAATTTACAAAATCTTTTCTTTTTTTTTCAGATACCATTCTGACGCATGTTAGAGATGGAGATATGGCCTCGGGTAAAGACGGATGTTGTTGTGCAGGCGGCTTGTGTGGAAAAAAATAAAATTAATTAGCCGGGTCTTTGTCTTTGCGTTAATTTATCTTATAATGGATGTAAAACAAAACACTTAATTAGCACACCGTATTGCTTCTTCATTATTCCCATGTCCTTCATTACTTACTACTTACCGAATATAATAAAAATGAAATGAAATGGGGTTTAATGTCCTATTGTTCTGCTCCGAACTGGGGTAATGACGACGGGCATACGGCATACAGTGTGCTGTGAGAGAAATTTTGCCCGGACAGCGGCACTAAGGCCTACTCTTATATCGAATTCCAACTGTCAAGGGATCTTTTACGTGCACGCCAATGTGTACACAGGACCTCGGTTTTTTGTCCCATCCGAACGACTAGACAGCTGTTTTTGTCCCATCCGAACGACTAGACAGCTGTCTTTGTCAGGCCCTCCGTCCTGCATCACTGACAAGGGGGAAACCAAATAAAGATTAAATGACCGAGAAAGTTCCGCGAAATATCACGGTTTCTCTTCTTCGTGTCAGTGGTGCGTGAACAGCGCCTAGTAGTTTGGAAGGAACGACAAACCGAGGTCCCATGCCACCATTGACGTGCACGTAAAAATACCCTTTACTATTAAAATTCGAAATAAGGGCAAACTTTTCCCCATAACACACTGCACGGTGTATGTCTGCCTTAATTCGCTCGGACAGAGTAGGGAAGTAAGACGTTAAACTCCGGTTTCTTCCCACTGCTAAAGACCCCTACGCGCAAGCGAATTATTGAAATAATTAAACCATTATGTTAGTCCCGAAATGACCTAGTCTGTGTCGAGTGGACGTTAAACCCCATTTCTCTCTCTTTCTTTATTAGGCGGGTTGGTCCAGACGCATCCCGTTTCATTTCTAAAATCACTAGTCGGTATACCCAGCCTCGTATACGAAACCTAACACGTATCAATAAAAAAATATTAGTAGTTACCACCATTATACGTCTTGGTGATATTAAAAGAAATAAGTATTGAAGTATATGTAGAGCGATAAAAAGTACATGCTAATCAATACAGTCAGTGAGTTCATAAGGTAGGGTGTCAATAAAGTCAATGTCTTGAGGTAGGGTGTCAAAAAGCAGTTGACTTACATACAATTGAACAATAAACTTGACTGTAAATATCAAATAATGCCAACAGCTCCACTCTCTCATAGTTTGCTAACAAAGATATACGTAACAAAACATTTCATATACATGTATAAACAAAGATCATATACGACTACAAAACAACATGAGTTAGCGTGTAGCTGGAGCCGGATAGAGCTGGATAAATCTTGTGAAACTGACAAAAACTGATTTTGACGTCCTGATAGAAGCAGTGACTTGTGTCATTTTGTATTGTAGGGTTTTCTAAACCAGTGAACAAAACCACCCCCATCAGGTACCAGTAATGAGCCACGGTGACTCATTAACCTGGAGATATAATGTTCGATACCGTTGGTAACCGAGAAAGTTCCTGGGGAGTTTCCGGCGTGGTTTCATCTTGTTTGTTTGGCTGATACGAAAACCCGAAATGGGCATTCTAAAAAGAGTAGGCCCTATCGCCAAAGTCCGGATGATGAGTTCTTCCAGAAATTGTTGTACATCAATGTATGGAACGAACAATATTATCCGGAATACAATGTCTTGAAAAATGTTTAAGAATTCGTCGATATATTTTCAGTGCGAAAAATCAAATAATTCCAGATTTTTCTTCGCAAAAATGTATAAATATTGTGGAATATACTGTACATGTAGGTACTCCTGCTAATGTAACTACAGAACTGACACGATTAAAGAATTCATATCCAAGATTGGAGGCAATTAAATTCCATTAATGAAACAAAGTCGTTACCACACCAACTACTGTACGTATCACACAACTGTACGTATCACACATTATATATGCCATATAACTAAAAAATATGAGACCCTAAATATGTTATGCTTACAGGGGGCAAGTCTTTAACTCAATATCAAACTTATTTGTCAATTTAATTCAACACTAATGTTGTTATCTTTTCGTGATAAGATGGTCTTCTGGTATCCATTATTTAAGACACAATGAAAATTTTAAAATTGGCAAAAGAATTGCGTGTCAGAAGGCTTTCGAGCGCCATTTGTAATGAAGCGACTCAATGAACGAGGTTAAACTTATCCCACAGGAGAATACTACCGGTGTAGAATGGAATACTCAGACTCTTAAAGATTTACATCCAATTTGTACTTTTCGCGTATTTCGCCGAACATAACTAATTAGAAATTACAGTAACAATAGAAACGATTAAATTTAAATCAGTTTATATACACTCATATTACATCATTATATGCACTGCAACCTATCTGTGTCCATTTCTAGGTACCAAAAAGTAGAGATTTGGCTCCTTTAAAGCAGTGCATTTTTGATTCGTTACAAAATAAGCTATGGTTTAGCGGTGCTGTGGGTTTGGTGAGAGCATTTATACTATTTGGCACGCTAACTTATCTTGAAACAAGAACTTGCGTCGATAAGTAGGACTTGGGGAAATGCAGAACGTTGTATTCTACAAACACAAAAATGCTATTTGAATGTTAAGAAATGTAAAACGGCGTATTCTACAAACACAAAAATGCTATTTGAATGTTAAAAAAATGCCTTAAAGATACATTATTGGAGACTAGATAAAGAGCTGTCAGTTCTCACTATAATAGTTAACACGTAAAGGGAATTTGCTGAAAATTTCAGTCAAATTGATCCACTCTGAACCAAGAATTTAGCGATTGAATTTTAGGCCTAGCCTCGATCATCATTACTAAAGACGGTACGATAAAAGACATAGTCCCGATTATCCAATTTTTGATTTAATCATCAACAAGCTTTAAGCAGACCGGATTCCAATCCAGTATATATCGCAGGTTAGCGATGACATCGAGAGTTGATTATGGTCTGGATAAGTTAATTAATGTCTAATTAATAATTTAGATAACATTTTAGGCCTAAAGAAAGACCTGCAATAGGCCGATTTAGCTCTTGCATAATGCATGTTTATCTGTGGCCTTAAATGTCAGGTAGCCTTTTAAGAAAACTAGGCCACTGGGGATCCCGGCTCTTTTTCACATCAGACGAGTGATCATTTTGTTTTATTATATCGATGATGTTTCTCGAACCCGGTCGTTTCTAACTTTACGTCCAATTAAACAGAACCCAATTTTTATGAGAAATCAATCCCTGGTTTTATTCTAAAAGCACGACGTTTCGACAAGTATTCTTTGATCGTTATCAAGCACACATTGTCGAAACGTCGTGATTGATTTTCATTAATAAATTTGTTCAGTAGAATTTGTTCCTTAATCGCTAAATGTCACTTAAAGATTATGTACCCCCAATGTCTTGACCAAATAATCATTGCGATTCCCGTACTTTAAGAAAACTGTTGAAAGTGACCTAATTATTTCATTATGGAACTGGAACGACTACTCACAGAAAAAAAAATGACACACTTCCCGTATAATAGTTTTATTATCAGGAACAAAAATCTATCTTCTATTATTATTATATATATATTTGTGACTGTCGTTTGTCTTTCTGTCTGTCTGTCTGTCTGTTCGGGGTTGGCGGCTACATTATGTCTGCCCCGAGTCTGAAATTTGGGGTATAGGGGTAGCTCGGACCGGGGAGTAACATAGACCAGGTGGCGTTAGTCTACCACTTCCGGTTTCGGAGTTATGACCCCCGAGCGAAGCCGGTCTGTTCGGGGTTGGCGGCTACACTAGTTATACATAAAATATACCCGGCTAGACCACAGGAGGTCCACTCAAGCAGTCGTCCGATCAAGCAGTCATTTACACAAATGAATCCACCACATCACATGAACGAACCCATTTACCCTTTGTAGTTCATGCTGGGTATGGCATATTATAGCATGTACCTCTATGATGTAACTTCAAATTTGCCAATAGAGTTTTTCATCTCTTAAACATACATTATGCAAGAGCTAAATCTGCCTATCGCAAGTCTTTGTTAGGTTTCAAATGTTATAGAAATTATTAATTAGACCTTTATTTACATGACAACTCTGTAGACCCTCGGATGGCTTGGATACAGCTTGGATTTAAACAGTCGACCATTTCAAATTAAATCAAGAAATGGCCGACCAAGCTAACGTTTACCGTTAGTTACTGACGTCACTCCCGGAAACTGGTTTTAAAAGGCCTGCCAAGCGAGGGTACAATAGCCATTGAGAATGTTACTTGATAATCGAGAATATGTGGGTGGAGTTATCGTCTGTCAATCAAACGATCGACAATTCACGTAGACGGTGCGGACACAGTTGATACCTATTTCTAGTCTAAACTTCCAACAGTGACAACTCCGTTCAAAATAAAGTAATTGGACTGAAATTTTCAATGTTTTCTTTTTTTTTTTGCCATCTATTTTTGAATTATTATAGCAAGAATGGCCATCTCTTTATTAAACTCTTCACTAATGTATCTTTGATTAACCACAGCTATCCAACTTCTGGATGATATTAGGGATTGTAATTCAATATATCTTGCTTTGTCACACTAGTCCGTCTCCCCTTGCCAGGTTACAGTTAATACTACGCTACTGCCTTGTCGTTCACCCCATGGGAGCAGGTGTGGCGGCTGCGGGACGTACGAGGGTAGTGTCTGTACGACTAACAAGAAAAGAGTTTCTAGTCGTTCCAATGGGACAAAACCACGAGTATTGTGTTGTAGTTGGTTATACTATAGGGGCAGATTTGGCGCCTGTGCGGCTGACAAGGGGAGTGACAAAAGAGGTAGTGTCTATGGGATTAACAAGGAAACACTTCCTAGTCGTTCGGATAGGACGAAAAAACGAGTATTGATCAATCCCACAAGATCAATTACGTTCCGTACTATGAATAACAAAATTGATTTAATTGAAACCTGTTTCAGTACATTTCTATTTAATACAAATTTATTGATTGGCGTTTGCTTTAAATGTACGCAATCTGGTGTTCTGATTGTTATAAATTACCAAGTGTGCAATATAACTCTTTGATGTTCATACTTAAAGTTAATATTGCAATATAAGAATGTTACATTGCACCAGTGTGAGGATCTCTTGTCTTGGCGAGTCGTATAGAACGGGTTGTCAGCATTACGGTAATATGACTTATTAGTAACTAACTTAATTACCCGGCGTCGTTCTGTTGAGTGTCTTGTATAGTGTTGATTTCAGTTGCGAATTGTCACTAGTAATATCTCAATTAGGCTTTTGTATAGGCTTTCGGGTTGCATGGAAACTCAAAGTTTCCCACGTGTACACCTTATAATAACCTTTAGCGTTGAAATTGCGTGTGCGTGTGTGTGTGTGTTGGGTGTGTGTGGGGGGGGGATATAGGTAAGTAGGCAGGTGAATTTCCCTCCTTGTTTTGTATACGTGACCTTAGAAAAACAAATAATAATAGTAGGTCTCCGGATGACCGGAATATTGTATTGAGGAGACCAGGAACCAAGTGTGACGTCATTTTAGTCATCTTGGAATTTTTACGTCATCTCAAAAAACGAGGTATTAATCTTTCTCCGAGAGCGTCTCCCCCCCCCCACGCCCCATCAAAGAACAACAAGATGAGTAGCCTTTGGAGACCAGTCCAAAAACAATCGTTAGACAAAGGGGTTTAAATTAAAATAGGAACCCACACTATTTTCATTATTTTTACTAAATAATTATAAATACAAAACAGCTGTTACAAGACTTCATTTCATTCCAGTCTAAACCAGAAATACACGTATATTAATTTCAAAAGGGTTTCTGTAACGTAATTAATATGTAAATAAATTAAGTCTCAAACGATAATATTATTATTTTTTGAATATTGGAATATAATTTATATAGAAGGAATATAAATTCATCATGAAGTTGAAATACTGTCTGTTGATCGTTCTGTTGGTTATACAAACGACCATGATGGATACAGCTCCAGTACCGGGTAAGTATGTAAATTGTAAATCTAAACCAGAATGAATATTCGAGTGCTCTAAATGATTGATAGCCACGATGGCTCAGTGAACAATGTGCTGGCCATCTAATCAAAGCAGGGAGCCATGGTGGGTCAGTGAGTAGGACGTTGGCTCGCTAACCTGGAGTTCATGTGTTCCATCCCTGCGTTGGCCGAGAAAGTTCATCGGGATTTTCCGGGGTGGTTCCCCCTTGTCAGTTGTGTAGCACACAGGGCGTGACAAGGGACAATGTATAGTCGTTCGGATGGGACGAACAACCGAGGTCTCGTGTACACATTGGCGTGCACGTAAAAGAACCCTTGACAGCAGGAATTCGAAAAAAGAATAGGCGATAGCAACGCTGCCCTGGCAAAATTTCCCTAATAACACACTGCACGGTGTATAGCCCATCTTCATTAACCCAGTAGGAGCGGAACAGTAGGACGTTAAACCCGTTTCATTTTATTTCATTTCTAACCAAAAGAGATCTAGGGTTCATTCCCGGTGTTGACCAAGAAAATTCTCTAGGATTTTCCAACGTGGTTTCCCCTTACCAGTTATGTACGACGGGGAGTCTGACAAACCGAATTCCAGTGGACGCGTTGGCATGCACGTAAAATAAACCTTGCCAGGAATTCGAAATAAGAATAGGCCATATGTGCTGTTGCCCGGTCAAAGCGTCCCTCAAGTCACAGAAAAGTAGGACATATAAATGCTATTTCATTTTATTTCTAAATGATTTGTTTATTAGAGGAACAAGCAACTAAAGTTTACATTATGTTGAGTTTAATTTAAAGCCACGGTTCGTCATTTTCCTTTTTCGAACAAAATCAATTTTTTATTCCATGCTAAAATGTACTAAAATGGATTATTTAACATTTAAATTATTTGGAAATCAAAATCAAAATATCAACGGGAAAAAATCCCCTGTTTTTGACTCAATCTGATTTTAAGCAGGTCCTTCAAAACATTAATTTAGCGAATGATATGGGTGGCATTGGTATGTGTTGTCAATATCCCCTCCATTACGTGTGTAGAGGCTGTCGAATGTCGACACATTTTCAATTCATCTTTGTAAAGGGACATAGTTAAAGCATTAACTGTTGACTGATATTCAACTAGAACATACGATATTGATATTATACGTGGGCCCTTATTCACGAAAACTTAAACTAAGATACAATCGAAATTTTAAGAAATACTGCAATTCGATTGGCTGACCAATATGCAAATTGGATATATGCAAATTGATTTTACTGGTCAGCCAATCGAATTGCAGTATTTCTTAAAATTTCGAATGTATCTTAGTTTAAGTTTTCGGGAATAAGGGCCCTGATTCAAAACCCCCGTTTTGTAAATAAACAGAATTAACCATTTTAAAACTGATATTCGACTTAAACAGTATGGTAGTTTACAAGGGATTCAAAATCCTTTAAATGACGATCAGACACTTTAACTATTTGAAAAGTTCTAATTCCAAGGGGATCACGGTGGCTAAGTGGGTAAGGCGCTGGCTCGCTAGCCTGGAGGTTGGGTGTTCGATCCCTGCATTGGCCGAGAAAGTTCATCCAGATTTTCCGGCGTGGTTTCCCCTTGTCAGTGATGCAGGACGGAGGATCTGACAAAGACAGCTGTCTAGTCATTCGGATGAGACGAAAAACCGAGGTCCCGTGTACACTTTGGCGTGCACGTAAAAGATCCCTTGACAGTTGGAATTCGATATAAGAGTAGGCCGTAGTGCCGCTGTCCGGGCAAAATTTCCCTCATAGCACACTGTATGGCGTATGCCCGTCTTCATTAGCCCAGTTCGGAGCAAAACAGTAGGACGTTAAACTCCATTTCATTTCATTTCATTTCTAATTCCAAATTGCCTTTTTCTGTTCATTTAATGATATTTTTAAATACATGTCAAACTCAAATTTTCGCTCCTCTAGTCATTTTGTCGGGCACAGATTTGCCCCTTTTTATGTGTTTTAAATGATATTATTAGTATGAAATGAAATGGGGTTTAACGTCCTACTTTTCTGTTCCGATTGGACTATAGTGAAGACCCACATAAGTCATAATTGTGCCCGGACAGCGGTGCTACGGCCTACTCTTATATCGAATTCCAACTACCAAATGGATCTTTTACGTGCACACCAAAATATACACGGGACCTCGGGTTCTTTCGTACCATTCAATCGACTTTACGTCCTGTACCCCTGACAACGGGGAGCCACGCCGGAAAATCCTGATGGACTTTCTCGGCCAACGCATTGATTGAATACGGGACCTCCAGGTAAGCGAGCCAACTTCTTACTCACTAAGGGGGGGGGGGGGGTTGGATGGCCGAATGGTTAGCACGCGCGCGCTGTATCATACGGTCTGTCATTGAGTCAACTGGCGGGGTTTCGATTCCCCGGTTGTACGTGACAAGCAAGCGAATTATTGAAATTAAAAAACTGAACCATATGTTAGTCCCGAAATGACCTAGTTTGTGTCGAGTGGACGTTAAACCCCATCTCTCTCTCTCTCTCTCTCTCTCTCTCTCCCTCTCTCTTACTCACTAAGCCACCGCGGCTCCCTAATATTAATAATGTCCGACACAAAGTCCAAACTCTCGGGTACAAGATGAATACTGCAGAATTACGCATAAGGATCGTATTAAAATTCAAAAGTTTTCAGTCGTGGTTCCACAACCTGCTGTTTAAATCTGTCATTGTTTTTTCTTTTTTTCACATTCAATCAGATGGGGATACATCAGATACTAAAGTGACGTCACCGCCTAAAATATTCCATAAACTACTACCAAGCGGTTAGTATTCATATTAACAATTCAATTTTAATTCTTCCGATGTTCTCTTTATGCAAATATTCTAAAGTCGTTCCTCGATGTAATTGGGTACTAGATATCTGTTACTCTTGCCTGCCCTTGGCAATATCCCGGATGTATTACTGGATCATCAGATTATGGCATCGGTATTGTATCAATCTCCTACGTCACAGTACTTCCGGTATGGGGCTCATCAACTGTCTAATTTGACCACGAAACCAGTATTATAAAGATAACACACTTGATACGACTATTTATTTCTAAGGAAATAAACAGAACATGTGTCTTGGGCTTTTTCAACTTCGATTACTAAATGCCACTGAAACAAATGACGATAAACATAGCTGGATAGTTACCAAGGTTAACCAACGGTAGCGTATTGCAGTCACTACTAGGCCAGCCTGATTCCATATTGTCAGTGGTGCAAGACGGAGGGCGGGCAAGGAAATGCGTCTAGTTGTTTGGATAGGACGAAAACTCAAAGTCCCGTGTAGACCATTGGCAGGATGTTGACGATTTGAAATAAGTAGCGTAGCTGTAAATAATGTAGACATAGCAAACAGTGAAAATGGAATATAAAAGGACATCAATTAGTAAACGAATCCGATTTTGAAGATTATATAAAACTAAATTTCTTTTGATACAATACTTTTTATGACGTTTCTTTTGGATAAAACCTATTTACGACATTTGTTAGATGCACGGTTGTTTATGAGATTATTCATACTAAATGGCATTTGTTTAGATACAAGACTATTTATGACATTTGCTCTTTATATGTGATTGGATAAGATTCGGAACTAATTATGATATTTTTTCTAACAATATTTATTCAATCAATATTTATATAATTTAAAGTAGCTAAGTCTCTAACTCAATATAATCCAATGTGTTCGACATTGAAAACACGAATTATTTGTCAATTTAAATCAACAGTGATGTTGTGATCTTACCGGGAAAAGATGGGCTTCTGATATCCAGTATTTAAGACTAAATAAACCTCTTACCATATTTGTGTACCATAATGCGTTTCAGGTCCATAGGTAACAAGGGGCTCAAAGAACGAGTCTAGACATATACCACAAGTCATGTCAAACGGTGATGACATATTCTTATCGGAGAGCATGCCCAATAAATACTATCGGTGTAGACTGCAATAACCAGACGCTAGAGATTGCCATTCTATGGAGACTTCTGGCGTATTTCGCTGAACATAGCTGATAAGAACAGTTAAAACAGAAACGATTGAATATAAATCAGTTTATATACATTCATATTACATTATTATATGCGTTGCGGCCCATTTGTGTCAATGTCTAGGTCCCACATGTTAGCTCCTTTAAGATACAATATTTAATTATGGAATCTGAAAACAAGCCAGATCTTCTATAAATTCAGAACTATGTATGACACATCTATAAATTTAGAACTATTTATGACACATTTATAGATTCAGAACTATTTCTGACGTGTTTAGCTGCATGGACATTTATCACATATGTTTAGATATAGAACTATTGACTAAAATTTTAAAACTGAATAAATGCAAAAAATATTTTTTGAATTTAAAAATAGATCCAACATAATGCCCTACCCAACCCTAATAACACAATGTGGTAAATGACCTATGATGTGATGTGGTCTGCATTGTTCATTTCAGGTGATAACTTCAGGCACATGTGTTGTGGCAGTGGTGGAATGGGGAGAAAGTGACAATAAAACATCTTAAAAATAAAATAAAGCCATTTTTTAAATATAGAATTGATAATATATTTCTTTTTGATTTTCGGAGTTGTAAGAAGCCGTGGCATAGCCAGTAAGGCGCTGGCCCGCGGGATTTTCTCTTGTCAGTTGGAATTAGATATAAGAATATGGAAATAAAATGGGGTTTAACGTCCTACTGCTCCGACTGGCCAAATGAAGACGGGCATACGCCATACTGTGTGCTATGAGGGAAATTTTGCCCGGATAGTGGCGTTACGATCTACTCGTATTTTGAATTCCAACTGCCAATGGGTCTTTTACGTGCATGCCAATGAGTACACGGAACCTCGGTTTTTCCTCCCATCCTAACGACTATACGTTATCTCTTGACAGGCCCTAGGTTCTGCACAACTGACAAGGAGAAACCACGACGGAAAATCTCGATGAACTTTCTCGGCCAACGCAGGGATCGAACATGGTAGCTCCAGGTTAGCAAGCCAGCGTCTTACTCACTGAACCACTGTGGCTCCCCGTAAGAATAGAGAGAGACAGAAATGCAGCTGTCCGGGCTATACAATTTGGGTACACATTTATTACAGCGTGGATAACATAGTGAAAAATTAGATATTGGCCGAAAAGTACACATGACGATCAGCGGACTTTAAACGAGAAAAGTTGACGCTTCTGTTGGTAAATAAGCGGTAATGTAAGCTAACAAAGTTGTTGATGTTTGTCATGTGCCACCTGTGCCGTTCTTGACGAAAAATAAATGCAATGTGCGGAAATCCCATAGGTGATCGTATCACATCTACGCAATCGACGTAAGATTTTTGTCCTTTTTTGTTCACGGTTGTCAGCTGTAAGACTGTGATTTTCAATACGGTCGTGTGTTTCTTTCCCTTTCTTTCAAATGGCAACATCTGGTAAAATAATTTTATTTTTCCCCGTTTCATGACTAGTTACACTTCTCAAGCTATTGACTTTCTCGGTTAATATAAACGTTAAATGAGTTGGATTGACGGTTTAACAGTCCCTCCATTCCGTAGGTGGATGACTTTGCATAACAATTAAAGACACCCACATGGCGCAGATTACGCGTGGTTACAATCGATATGCCTCGGGGAGTGAAAAGGGGTTTAACGTCCAACTTTTGTTTTCCGCCTGAGCTAATGAAGATGGACATACGTCATACAGTGCACAATGAGCGAAATTTTGCGCTACGGCCTACTCTCTTATCGAATTCCAATTACCAATTGGTTCTGATACGTGTATAAATAATAAATATATGTACACGGATCCTCGGTTTTGTGTCCCATCCGAATGACTATACGTTGTCCCTTGCCAGGTCTTCGTCCTATATCACTGCCAATGAAGGGGGGGGGCATAGCGGAAGATCCCGATGAACTTCCTCGGTCAACACAGGGATCGAACCCGGAAGCTCCAGAGTAGAGAGCCAACGTCTTACTAACTGAACCACGATATGCGACGGTGATGTAGAAGCATTTGATCCAATATTGTTTGTTGCCTTTGAATATGTTATATTTTATCTAAATCTACGTACGATACATTAAAATAATGTATGTGCTCTTTAACGTTTGCTTCCCCAACAGTGATATCGCAGACAAGACCTCAATCTGTTTCACAGAGTATTACGAAAATCTTGTAATATCTCTGTAAAAGATGACTGCCTTCAACACATGACGTCATATCACGCGGCGTCAACCATTGGCTCAATGGTGCGTGCACTGTTTACATAAGACGTTACTGATTCGAGGAGAATGCGCCTTTTACTCATTTAATACCCATTTACACTAAAATAGGAAATAATTTTTACCTACAAATACATCAAATGTCTTTATTTATTTTTCTAATACATATAAAAATGTTTTATAATTTAATTTGTTGGAGGAAAAAAGTTAATATTTGTGGCTCATTAAGTTGCATCTATGTCATCCTTATCAGTGATTGTCGCGGCCTAGCGAATATCCACTGCGGATCAGTGTGACAAGACCTATGCAGTCATACTAAACTTAGGCTGTCTGTCTGCAGTTAGCTCCGCTTGGGAACAGACACTAAGCTAGTTGACCGACATTTTAAGTCCTAAATCGACGATTTTAGTCGAAAACACTAAAGTATACTTCGTGTATTTTGAGAAGTAATTGTTATGCTTCCATTTAATGGAACTGAATAGGTTTATTTAGCCTTTGTGTGTATGCCAGGTGTGAAACGGAGTACAACCGCATAGCAAAACAATATACTAAGTATTGGATATGACGGCCATTCGGGACAGAGATTTATTCTCGAAGTATGAAGTAGGTGAATCACTGTGTGCAGAATGGTAACAAGAAAGGGAAATAACTCCATATACCGTAACACTACAGGATGCGGACCAATATTAATATTCTCATTAAATCTAACGTAATTCTTGTCTTGGTCACGGTTGTTATATGTTGCTCCATATGTGGTAGAAAACGTCCAACCCAACGAACATTTCAGAAGCCGTCAAAGAGAAATAAATAATGAACCGGTCCATCTTTCAATCTGACATTGTAAATGGTGTGCTTATTGTCAGTCATCTGTCAGTGTTCAGTTGTGATCAAATCATTCTGAATTTCAATAGTGTTCCATTGTTATCCTCTTACAAACAATACTATCAAGTTCAAACATATTCCACACTGTACTTTTTATTCTGCCATCTATAACAATCAAAATATAAATGGAAAAATAAATTCACCAAACGCGTTTGAAATGTACGATAAATTTAAGCATAAACCATGACACTGGTCAGCAGTGAATATTCGCTAGGTCACTCCAGTCACTGAGAGGAATGACATCGTTGCGGTTAATTAGCTCGCAATATTAACTTTTTCCCTTTGCAAATTAAATTTTATAAAAAAAATTTTTTGAATTATTTGAAAAATAAGTAAAGGGGTTTGAATTATATTTGGATAAAAAATATTTCCTATTTAGTGTAAATGAATATATAAAATGAGGCATCATTCTGCCCGGGCCAGTTGACGTCATATAAACAATGCACCCGCCCTCGAGCCAATGTCATGTGTAGAATGCATTTGAACTTACAAAGGTCAGTCAATTTATATAGAGGAAATGAAATGAAATGAAATGGAGTTTAACGTCCTACTTTTCTGCTCCTAACCTGGGCTAATGAAGACGGGCATACGCCATACAGTGTGCTACGAGGGAAATTTTGCCCGGACAGCGGCACTACGGCCTACTTTTATATCGAATTCCAACTGTCAGGGGATCTTTTACGTGCACGCCAATGTGTACACGGGACCTCGGTTTTTCGTCCCATCCGAAAGACTAGACAGCTTTCCTTGTCAGCCCCTCTGTCCTGCATCACTGACACGCCGGAAAATCTGGATGAACTTTCTCGGCCAATGCAGGGATCGAACACCCGACCTCCAGGCTAGCGAGCTAGCGTCTTACCCACTTAGCCACGTGATCCCCTTTATATAGAGGTATACGAAACCATTTTCACAATACCTCTGTGAACAGATTGAAATAAACAATATCGTTAACATCACGGTTCCTTGCCCGGTCAGACTCCGTCCGCTTTCACTAGCAACGTGCAACCAATAACCAATTTCCAACACGGTTCCTACTGGCAAAGAACAATGTTTAGTCATTCGAATGGGACGAAACATCGAGGCCACATCACATATACCAGTTCAGGCAGTTGGAGCGCATGGAAAGGATGCTTTGATGGATGGAGAATTTGACGAAGATTAAAGTTGATACGCCGCTATCCGTACAAAATGTTCGTCATAGAACACTACATTAGCATGATGCCATGTTTCATTTCAAGTTGATACGCCGCTATCCGTGCAAAATGTTCGTCATAGAACACTACATAAGTATGATGCCATGTTTCATTTAAAGTTGATATGCCGCTATCCGTGCAAAATGTTCGTCATAGAACACTACATTAGTATGATGCCATGTTTCATTTAAAGTAAAGGCCCAATGGCTGCAGGTGTGAGGTAAGCACGTTGGATCAACATGACATACTAAACTAACGCTGTCTGTCTACAGTTAGTTCCGCTTGAGAACAGACACTAAGCTTGACAACCGACATTTTAACTACTAATTCGACGATTTTAGTCGAAAACAGAAAATATACTTCGAGAATTTTTAGAAGTATTTATTCCACTTATCAATACAATAATTGAAAAGGTTTATTTAGTCTGTATATGTATGACAGATGTGAAACAGAGTATAGCCCCATTACAAAATAGTATACTATGCCATTCAGAGCGGAGATCTAGTCTCTGTCATTCACGCGCTGTATCATAAAGTCTGTCATTGAGTCAACTGGCGTGGTTTCGAATCCCCGGTTGTACGTGACAAGGAGTGGGGTTGCCTGTCCAACCTCGTGGGTTTTCTCCGGGTCCTCCGCGGTTTCCTCCGACTGCTAAAGACCCCTACGCCCAAGCAAATTATTGAAATAAAATTAAACCAAATGTTAGTCTCGAATTGACCTAGTCTGTGTCGAGTGGGCGTTAAACTCGATTTCTCTATCTAATTAAAATACCGATCTATATTTATATAACGTTTCGTTTTTTATACTTCCGATGGCCTACACTACATGAAGCTCTAACAAGTTATAGCGATAGGTCACGTCAGGGGTCAAAAGACCGACTTATGACCCTATGATGTCAGACATTTGATGAACCAATCAGCATTGATGTTACTAGTGGATTACCCACAGTTCCGTGCAAAACCCAGGCCTTAATCGCGACACAAGAATATTCCTCCCAAGAGCCTATGATCATAATCTTTAAGTGGCATTTAGTGATTGGGGTACACAATAACAGAACACAATTTTTATGGGAAACAATCACTGGTTTTATTCTAATAGCACGACGTTTCGACAAGTATCCTCTTATCGTTATCAAGCACAATGACATTTAGTAAACTTGGATTTATTTGTCTTATATATTTGTCTTCAAGTTTACTAATCTGATCAATTAATTCTTAACTGATGTGTACATGCCTAGACTTCCCTACATGCTCTTGCATATTGTATGTTTAAG